TGAAGTTTTTATGATGTCATTAACTGCTGCACACTTGCAACTCATTTTTACTATAAAAAATTGGATCTTTGTTTCAGGTATGTTCCATAAGTGTTCATTTATGGGACAGATTTGGGTCGTCATTACTGCTCTTAATTAATAATAATGGTGGGAATATTTTTTTTTTCTATTTGTTTTCTAAAAGTTGTGTTACCACCGAGTGTTATATTTCTGCTTAGCTCAATTCTTGGCCGCTTTCATCTTAAACCCTGATTTCGATTTGGTAATAATATAATTACTGAAAAACCAGTGTTTTTTAATTTAAAAAATTAATTTCGATATTAATTATGTTATACTTTCAGGGGTGTGTTCCATCTTGGTATAGTTTTATATACCCTTCTTATTGTTGCCAATTGTGAACCTTGTCTGGTTGCTGGAAATGGAGCTGATTATGACGTCAGGTCTGAATTGACCCAAAAAGTTTCTGTTCCTCTTCCGAGTATTTCCAGTGCATGCCTAAATCCGAACTTGTTATGCTTTCCTTCAACCTTAACTGGACTTTTATCTAAACAAGACAGTTCTGCCCGTATACCATCTGAAACCCGAAAGTCAGATTCTGGTGTTTTTAGGGTACTAGATGGAAGAAGAAGTATATCCTGCTCGTTGAATTATGATAATTTTAAGAGGAAGCTAGTTGATGACACTATTGGATTGAAGATCACAGATAGTTTTTTACCTTACATAGAAGTTAGACCTCATGGTCTTGACTGGGGAGAGAATTATTTGTTCTTTCCTTCATTAGCATCTCTTATGGTAAGGAACACACACAGACAGAAAACATTGGTTGTCTTTGAGCCATATAGTACCAATCCTCAGTTCTCTAAATGTAATAATGTTTCTAGTGAGGTGGTGTTGGGTCCCGGAGAGACGTCTTTGGTTTGCTTTGTGTTTTTGCCTACTTCTTTAGGCCTATCCTCAGGGCACCTTGTTTTACAGACAAATTATGGTGGTTTCATGGTTACAGCTCAAGGATTTGCTGTCGATTCACCATATGGGATTCCACCCGTTTCCCTTAGTGGAAAGGGGAGTAAGAAATTCACTCTTTTTAACCCTTTTAATGAAGCCCTTTATGTGGAGGAGGTTATTTCTTGGGTTTCTTTAGGAAATACTTCCAACTTGACAAAAACAGTTTGTAGCATTATTAATAGCAATGAAGAAGGTTGCTCATTGTCTCTAGAGGAGTGGCTGAATGATACAAATGGGGAAGTTTCGTTGAGGCCACGAGGAGATTGGGTCGTGGGTCCGGGGAAAAGTGAACCTATCATGGAGTTCGATTTTTCATTGGATTTTAAAGGGATGTTTTTTGGTGCTTTTTCCATGAACTTACTGAGATCACCACAGAAGAAAATAGATACAGTTGTTATACCTCTAGAAATGGAGATTACCAAGAACTCAGGATTCGTTTCACTGTCTATTTCTGTTTTCACGCCTTGTAGTTATAGTGGGACCACAGTTCTTTCTCTCTTTGTGCACAATGATTCTCCTCATGTATTGAGAGTTGTCAAAATTATTGAAGAAGGAGATAATGGTCAACGGTTTCAGATTAAATACATTGAAGGGTTAATCCTTTTCCCCCACACTGTTACCCAAGTAGCATTGGTTAGCTACAGCCTCCTTGCATCTACATCTACTGAGATACGTGTGAGTTGCAAGATCGCTGTATACACAAATGACTCTAGTGATTCTTGGGCTGGGATTCCTTGTACTGATGTATTCAGTATTTGTGCATTAGAGGATCTAGAATTTTCTGTTCCACCTGGCCAAGCCTGTGATGAGGAGGGTGAATCTGTAAATGTCAAAGCAAGTTCTTTAGGCTATAACAATTTACAGGTATTCAAAGTGTTGTAGTTCTTGCTATTTAATTTTTCAGTATTGCCAATTTGGATATTCTAGGTATATATTCCTATGTGGCAAACATTCATTGGATCATGAAAATAGACTCATGATCTTCACCCAATAAAAATGTGTCACATAGGAATGTCTCCCTTGATTATCCACATTTAATGTTTACCTAGGATTACTCTATTTATCTGTGTCCAGATGCAGTTACTAAGTACGAAGTAACTGATTGTTGCTATCAAACCCCAATGCCTTTTTTTAGGACTAAGTAATTAATTCTACTTCCATGGGGTAGGATAAAATTACTAAGTGACCCTTGGGATTTCTTAAAATTACAAATAAGCTCCCTCCTTGACGAGTCAGGTTTTCCGTAAAAGGTCATTTAACACTGAAAGAAAATAGAGTGTAAATGATATCACATCTTCAGATTGAATTTGGTGTTTAAAAATGCATTTTAATGGTTCAAATATATAAAGACTTTCCATAAAAAAGAATCTTGAGGACACATATTGAGGTTGTGAAAAACTCAATTCCTACTATTATTTCATCATCCTTCATTTTCATTTGTGAAAAACTGACTTGTAAAAGGGCTTGTCTATAATTTTCAGAAACTTCAAGGATCATTAATAGTTTGATCAAACGTTGAGGGAGGTAAATGCAGTTAACCATTGTATTTACTCTGCAATTTCCCAATATAGTTTTGTTTATGATGATTAATTTCATTGTATATAATTTCAAGGAACTGATTGTAGCAGAAGCTGAAGAAGCGATACTGATGAACTGGAAATCTCAAGCAACTGCAAGTGATATGTCTGTCCTTGACAAACCTGAGGTGATCTTCCCTGTTATTGAGGTTGGACATTTCTGTTCTGACTGGATCACTGTTAAAAACCCGAGTCAGAAACCCGTTCTTATGCAGTTGATCTTAAATTCTGCAGAAATTATTGATGAATGTGGGGCCCCAGAAATGCATTTGCAGGGGGCTTCTCAATCACATTCTTTAATGGGTACAAACAATTCTATTACTCCAACAAGATATGGGTTCTCCATGGACAAAAATGCAGTGAGTGAGGCTCTTGTCCATTCTCTCGGGGTAGCATCTTTAGGTCCTGTTTGGTTTCGACCCGGATCTCAATGCAGTTGGAAAACTTCAATTCTAATACGAAACAACCTTTCTGGTTTAGAATGGGTTTCTGTCAGTGGGATTGGAGGGTCACTCCTTATGGTTTTGGTTCAAGAAGATTCTGAACCTATTCAAAATCTTGAATTCAAGATGAGCTCCCAAAGCTCTTTCAATTCATCTTTTCCAAGCACACTTGAGGGGGATGGAAAATCTTCTACGGGATGCTCTCAAGTATTGACAAGAGAGGTTTATGCAAAGAATATAGGCAATCTTCCCTTGAAGGTCATAAAAATTGGGATTTCCGGGACAGAATGTCAGTTGGATGGTTTTTCTGTAAATTCATGCAAAGGGTTTTCTCTATCGCCCGGGGAAACACAAAAGATAGTGATATCTTATCAGTCCGATTTTTCGCTAGCCACAATACAAAGAGATCTTGAGCTGTCTTTGAGTAATGGCATTCTTGTAATACCAATGAAAGCCGCTCTTCCATTATACTTCATTAGTATATGCAAACGGACATTTTCGGAAAGATTAAGGATGTCTCTCCTTCCAATATTTCTGGTTTCCTCTCTTTTGTTTCTCTTTAGAACTTACCTAATTAGGAAACCCCAAGATTTCTATATTCCAAAGAGTGGGAACGGCTATTCAAGAAGCAGGAAAGCAGCAAAGTGTCCTACCGTTGGACAGGAGAAAGAAACTGTCGTGTGGGAGCCCCAAAAGAAGATTGTTTATAGTGAGAGCTTAGATACACGAGAGCCGCCACAGGTTGGGCACAATAATCTCACGGTCAAAGTTGGAAACGAGAAAGGGAGAAGGAAGAGAAAGAAGAAAGGTTCTTCCAGTGGTGGACTGAATGCTCTTCTCGATGTCTCCAATAGTGGGAATTCTACACCATCATCTTCGTCCCCTGGGCCCCAGTCTCCGGTTTGCAATCGTATACTGTCCGAACCCATACATAATAGAGAAGAGCTTCACGAGAAGGAGGCATCCTTGAAGTTGAGAAATGACAAGCCTGCCATTACTGCTACAACCATTACTACTCAAAAGAAGAATCTAGATGATAACACTCCTGATACAGTTCCTCTAAATGGCGGCATGCCTGTCTCGTATGCTGAATCTATTGTGGTTTCGCCACCTTCAAGGGCCCCGGGGTCGGGACTTCGAGCTCGAGAAGGGGTCAAAAGTGGGGAAACAAAAGGGTGGGGCGAAAGGTTTGTTGTGTATGATATATGGGGTGATCACCTGTTTGGTGGACATCCTGTGACAAAGGATGTTCTGCCAAAGACAGCCCCAGTTGTAGAAAACAACTCCTCTGATAGCTTCTTTGTAATGGGTCCACAAATCCTAATGACCAACAATTCCAAACAGAAAGTTGTAACAGATCATGATGGTTGATATAATAAGTTGTTTTAACTTTTAAGACTTAACTTCATCATATTAGTGATGAACCCGGTTCGGGCCACCAGGCCTGGGAACCGGCCCTGCCCGGTACTGTGCTGGCCCGGCCCGGGAACCGGGTACCGGTTCCGGGTCATTGGTCCGGTTTAGGGAGGGTAGCGGGCCGGGTATGGGTATGGGGAAAATGGAACCGGCCCGGCCGGTTCCGGGCCCGGTTCGGGCTTAATTCTATTTTTTTTTTTTTAACTTTCCGGGTTGGACTGGGTATTTTGGGCCATTTGGGCTGATTTGGGGGGTGGGGTGAGGGAGGGGTCGGGGGTTAATTAGAAAAAGACAAAAAAAAAAATATAGAGGGCCCGACCCGGCCCGGACCTGCTGGATACCCGGGCCAGTCCCGGGCCCAACCCCAAATCCCAGAAAGCCTGCCGGGCCTAGGCCCGATCCGGCCCGACCCGGCCCGAATCCAACCCTGCATCATATCCACCCAATCCTTCTGAGGTCAATAACTTATCAACTTATCATGATAAGTGATTGTGAGAAAAAAAATCACCTCCACGGTTATAAAGTTTTTTTTCCTTGACAACGCACACCCCAATGATATATAGGTACGGACGTCGTCTTTCAAGCTCCAATCGAATCTTCAGTATATTTCACATGCATTGTATCCCCAATTAGATTTCAATTGGGCTTGGGGTACACCATTTGGTACACACACCTACACACTATAAATAGGCCCAAAAATTACATTTTTTTTACCCCCTCCCCCACGTGCGATTTCTTTCCCTCCCCTCCCCTCTATTCCCGCAGCTCCTTCCATCCCTCCCCTGTTCGACGTTTTTAATTTCCCTCAGCAGAACAAACCTTACAAAAATGGAATTTCCTGGCTTTGTGAATGAAACTATCATTGATACTACGGTGGACGATTTTTGGGCTGATTGGGCTGAAGCAAACGGTGGTTGTCGACGTGAGGATGAAGGTGAGCGAGAACCGGCGGCGGCCATGGCTGAACGTGATGGACAACCAGATTCGGCGTCTGAACTTGACGGAGAACCGGCCATGGACGACGTCCCTGAGCTTGGTATGAGTTTGTGGTGTTGGTTTCATTGGCTTTGAACTTAAATATATGTTTGTTCTTCACAGACAATTATTTGTGTTTGTGTAGTGTATATAAATTGTCTGTTAGTAAATATACTTATGTCTGTGCGTAAAGTGTATAAATTCTGTGTTCAAAATAATATAAGTTTCATTATGTCTGTGTACATTGAGTTTAAATGTCTGTGTACATATATACTTTTGTCTGTGAGTAAACATACTTATGTCTGTGCGGAAATATACCACTGCGTAAGTACATTTCTGTTTGTAATGTCTGTGTATCAATATTCCTTTGTTTGTGTGTGTATATGCTTCTGTCTGTGCATTAATATACCTCTGCCTGTGTGCTTAAATATACTTACCTCATTGCATGTTGACATGGACACATTGTTTAATCGTTGAATTACGTGAATGTCGATCAGATGGAGCAATTAAGCAAAATGAGAGTGATGATGGTTCTATACAAGCTCCGGATGTCGGTATGCAATTTGATAGCAAAGAAGCGGTGTATGATTTCTACAAGGCATATGGGAAGCGTTTAGGATTTCCCGTAAGAACTAGGAGTACCACGAAACACAAAAATGGAGTAGATATGGTTGGAGTATTACTAGAGTGCTCTCATGCCGGTAGCAGATCTACTAGGTCAAAAAATCAATTGAAGCCTCAACCTTCAATGCAAATGGGATGTGGAGCAAAAATACGAGCACGCACAAATTATGAGGGACTTTGGGAAATTTCAAAAATCTGTCTTGAGCATAACCATCCCATGAGTCCAACTAAGGCTCGCCTATTCCGGTGCTATCGGACTTTGACTCCCCAAGCAATGAGGCAAGTTGCAATCAACGATGTGGCCGGAATACGACTTCATAAAACTTTCAATGCAGCCGTTGTTGAAGCCGGTGGGTATGACCAACTTCCTTTTATTGAAAAAGATTGTAGGAACTACATTGAAAAGGTAAGACAACTTAGGTTAGGGAGTGGTGATGCCATGGCACTTCAAGAGTTTTTTTCTAAAATGCAAGCTCAAAGCCCCGGATTTTTCTATGTCCTTGACTTAGATGACGAGTCCCGATTGCGTAATGTGTTTTGGGCCGACAGTCGATGTAGATATGCATACAAAGACTTTGGAGATGTGATCACCTTTGACACAACCTACCTCACGAATCGGTATGACATGCCTTTTGCACCATTTGTAGGTGTAAATCACCACGGACAATCAAGTTTGCTAGGTTGCGGATTAATCTCTAATGAAGATACGCAAACATTCGTATGGCTATTCACCGCATGGCTTGAGTGTATGGAAGGCCGTGCTCCGATGGGCATTATTACGGATCAAGACCGTGCAATGCAAAACGCCATCCAAATTGTTTTTCCAAATACAAGACACCGATGGTGCCTATGGCATATTATGAAAAAGGTACCGGAAAAAATGGGAGGCATTACAGAAAAAAAAGAAATCTTGGATGCTATTCATGAATCCATTTATGACTCACAATATATTCCACAATTTGAGCAAAGTTGGAATGACATGATACAAAGGTACCCATTATTTCCTTTTAACTATGACCCATTCCAGAAGGTTTTTGTCTGTGAAATAAATATATGTGTTCTTCACAGGCATACAAAATGTACACCACAGACACAAAACTGTCTGTGAGCAAACATTGTATCTTTACTTCATATATATTTTTAATGTTATTTCAGGTATTCCCTGCAAGATCATGAATGGCTTGTAGTCATGTACAATGAAAGACACCGGTGGGTTCCATGCTTCTTAAAGACATTTTTCTGGGCGGGTATGTCTACCACTCAACGAAGTGAAAGTATCAATGCTTTTTTCGATGACTTTGTGCATTCCAAAACTAGTCTTAAGGAATTCGTTGAGCAATACGGACGTGCATTACGAAAAAAGGTAGAAAAAGAATTTCACGCCGATGCGAGTTCGTTTGCAAAAACAATTCCTTGTGTTTCATCATATGAAATGGAAGAACAAGTCCAAGAAATTTACACCCTAGCTAAGTTCAAGGAGTTTCAAGATGAACTTGTAGGTCTTTTGTATTGTGATCTAATACAAAGCGATGGAGATAGAAAATTTCATGTTAAGGAGGTCCGAAAGATAAATGGGTTTCGAAAAACCATTGACTTTGTTGTTGAATATGACCCGTTAACTACGTTTGGAATATGTAGTTGTCATTTATTTGAATTTAGGGGTATTGCATGTAGACACTTGATTGTGGTCTTACGTCGGCTTGGATTGGATTTCTTACCCGAGATTTACCTATTGCAAAGATGGAGGAAAGATGTTAAAAGAGCTTACACAAAGGTGAAAATAAATTATGATGGGTGGATCACAACGGTGGAACAACAACGATTTAATAAGTTGTGCACGACTTTTGAATCACTTGCAAATATGATTGCGGATGATGAAGAGAAGTACCAAAGTGTTCTTAATTGGTTGGAGACTCAATTATCGACATATACTCCTCCCCAAGCTCCTCGGTCTTCCATATGTGGCAACCTAACATCTATCCCACAACCGAGTAGTCATGTGCAATGTGAGGTTTCAAAAAACATAGGAGATCCTAAGTGTGTAAAGCGCAAGGGTGCTCCGAGGAAAAACCGTCAAAAAGGACCATTGGAGAAGGGGAAAAAGAAATCGGGGGCTAGGAACGACATTGGGATTGCCCCACAAGGTATCGCTGACCATGGCAAGGCACGGGAAGATCGTAATGACATGATGAACTACAGTGGTTTAGATTTAAATCTTACCTTGATGTAAATGTGCATGCCTGATTGTTCACAGACATTTATGTAATACGCCACAAACATACATCTTGGTCTTCACAAACAAAATACGTGTTTGTGTGCAATTTTTCAGAAATGTTTTTTTGTAATGTCTGTTTTTGTATAGTTTTTCAAATAAAAGTAATTACATTACAGAAAGTAGTGAAATGTTAGCAATTTATTTTTAAATTTAATAAATTAGTGGAATATTAAATTACATTAAAGTTATTGAATTTAACATTACGCAATTATCTACTTTTGATTACTTTTATTTATTAACATGTTAGATTAGAAATATTTAAATTCTAAAGTAAGTCATAATTAATGAAAAAAAACGTGATTTATTTTATTCCCCTATCTTATACAAATTTCAACAATTCCTTATTTTTGCCGAAGTCATACCAATTTTCTTCTTCACAAGCAAAATCATCCTCCGTAATATATATAAATATATTGCCACAAAAACCAAACGTAATTGTATGCCACCATTTCTGGTAATCCTTGGGAGTACATTCTAGGACGTTGTACAACATTTATAGTGTAACATTGTAGAACCTCCTACATTTAACAACCAAATCCATGTAGGCCAAAATTGAGCATAATAAAATGTATACAGTAATGTTACATAATTGTTTCACAACCAAACACATCCTCCAAACATCCTGTCTAACTCGACCGCTTCCTCAAACTCCAAAGCCTCATTGCGAATTCACATCTTTTTAATGCCATGTTGTCATAAGCACACCCGGGCAGTAATGGCAACTTCTGCAAGAGTGCTTCGGCAAAGGCCATAACCATGACGCCGCAAACACCGGAACTGGACAAAAAACAATGAATACAGACATTACATTTGCCTGCACAGAAAAACTATATTTGTGTACAGACAAAATAATATCCACAACACATGAATGTACCCGGGTTGCTGTTGTGGAACATCGTCCACTGCCTCCGCTCTCCAAGTTTGTGAATCTGCTGTGGCGCTAAGAGCGGGGTTGCATTTTATGACTCGAAACAGGTGTGGAAGTCTCACACACAACAGCCTCACACATCCAACTAACCTACGGGTCTTCATAGAATCGTATACCCGTACGATTCTATTGACAAGGTCAATTTCAGACAGCACCCAATGTTTGCCATCACTGTGCAACGGCATGAACACCTGCACAGTCAATAAAGTAGTTAAAATATTAGTGAACAAACCTTCAACACCACTATAGTAACTCAAAGAATTACAAACATTTAGGGACGGAGGGAGTATGAAATTTTAGAAAATCACATGTGAATAACTAAATGTGCTTATCATTTGTTCTATTTGATTAAATATCAGACCACATAATCTGGACTATTACATTATTTTTGGTTGATGAGTATACTAATGAGGCCTTTGGAACTGGTTTCAGCTGTTCATTTATGGTATTGGGTACACGGTTTATTCACTTAACCAGAGTAAGCTAACACCACTACTTAACTAGAGTATTTATAAAGTAGTTAATATTTTGCATTAATAGGTACGTAAATATATAAAAAATGACATAATATTTTATTATTTTGGAGACAAACCTTTTCATACCGGCTCCAGTCCATTTTGTTAAGGAATCGATCCCCACTCCATTGTGAATCATCAGCTACATTCTTCCGTAAAAGTTGGTACTACAGCAAAAACAAAATTACAGACGAAACAAGTACTACACAGACAATACTTTATCAATGCACAGACAAGTAGAGTTCAAAAGCACAGACACAATTTAGTTATTACTAACTTACCGCGAACAAAGGACTCAAGAGTTCATAGGCCTCGTCATGAATGCATTCGCGAAACATAAGAACAAGTGCATCCAAATGCTTAAAAAAAAGATTATCAAAGCCTAAAAAAACCATTCAACTAAAATATTGTAAAATGACATTATATATATATATTGACTCACCTGGCTGCTTAGCCATCCGGTTTCATCAATCAGTTCTCGGAAGAAGGCCCTATTTGTCGGGTAAGATGATGGGATAGCTATCTCAATTACGCACGGTTCTACCTCATCATCTTCCTCCACCCATGCCTTGAAGGATTGACATTCTTCGTCACTTTGTTGTAGTTGCGCTCGGGTTATGGTGCCTCCAACCTTAGGCCTCTTTGCGGCGGGAGCTATGAATGGGCTGCAAATGTACTTCGATGGCAACCTCTTTCTCTTTCTCACTTCTTTCATACTAGCTTCTTCGAGGGCCATCATGTCTACACCGCCGGTTGCAACTTCATCACCAAGGTCCCAATCCAAGTTTGCTAAAGGAGCGTGAGGTGTCAAAGCAAAGTCATCTCCCACCTGTAAAAAACATTAAAAGCCCGGGATCATATATACACACACACAAATAAATGTCGGTGAGGACAAGTTTACTATGCCTGTGCACTTAATGTATAATGTATGTGTGAAATACATACTGTCTGTGAATATAAACAAATTTTACAAATGACAATGTTAATTTCATTCAAGCATATAAAAAGATCTGTGGGAATGGGACAGTCCCCATACATGTGTTCTTCATTCGTACCGCCACTCAACTTTGAAATGAAGGAAAACTTATATTATAAAAAAAAGTGAAGTCCAAAAAAATTTATAAAACATACAATCGGTATACATGCATCGTTGAACGTACCTCGGCAACAACATTCATTACAGGATCACTTTGCAGTCCACGTTGTAGTTGACCAACAACAGCATTGGATTTCTCTTCTTCAGCCTAAGCAACAGGATCAGGATCAGTTTGTACTTCTTTTTGCTGCTGCTTTTGCAATTTAATAAAAGCAATACCAAAAATAAGAATGTTCAAAAACTTGCCTCAGTTGCGACATGCACAATACGGTCAGTATACATATTCTGATCTTCAGGAAGAACAGGACAAGAATTCTTCCCTTCAGCCTAACCATTAGGTGTTTGACAGACATTTATTACTTATACACGGACAAGACGAAATGTGCATAGGCATAATACATTGCTACATACAGACACTAAAAAGAGCACACAAACAATTACAGTTTATACGTTTTGGTAAGAGTATCATTCATTTGGAAAGAATAAAACAAAAAACCTTATGATAGAAAACTACATACCGCGGTCCCTGCATTCTCAACACCATGAGTAGACATCCTTTGAACTTCAACAGGTGTTGTACAAACTTCTGTTTCTTCTCCGTGCTGACTTGGGCCATATGGATTCCCCTTACAAACCAACATAAATATATATAAATATATATATATATATATATATATATATATTTATATAATGAGTATGAAGATTGTTAGTACGGTATGTCTTACAGTATATTTACTAAATATTTACTAAATGTACTATATATTTACTAAATACAATATGTCTTATAATGAGTATGAAGATTGTTAAGTTGGTTAGATCACACTTTTAGCATACATTTGAGCCAATAAATATGTGATGAAAAAAATGTCAGTAAATACACACTTGGTTATATATATATATATATATATATATATATATATATATATATATATATATATATATATATATATATATATATATATATATATATTTAGACTACATACAAACAAAAATGTACTAAATACAGACAAAGCAAATCATTGCACAGACAAGTGATGTTTAAACCTTTTCCTGTAAAGCCTTGTTGACTGTATCAATAACCTTAACCAGTAAGTTTTTCAGTTCACCAAGCTCCTCGTCCACTTTTTTTTCCAACCTTTGAACACTGATTTTTATCTCATCAATATTTGAACACATTTCTTCAACCTTTTCCTTTGTTTCAAGTTCAATATTGTCATGTTCACCTTCGTCTTCATCATCAGAATTAGGGGGTGTAGGCACCTCCTACGAAAACATGAACATGATTTCATATTATAAATATATATATATTAGTGGACAATTATAATGATAAACTAGGAATGATAAAGTAAGAAGACTTACATCAGCAAAGACTAGTTTCCGTATCTTAGATGACCGGAATTTGCCATGACATGTCCAATTTAGTATTGGGACTTCATCATTCCCAACACGTGTGCCAAAGTGTTCCCCAAATTTTGGAATTCTTTCATATGCCCACACCTAAATACGACGTTTAGTGAAGAAATTTATATTATGGGAAGTATAGAGCATTGTGAAAATATAAAACATATAGAGCAGATGTATGTTTGTGAGCATTTAAAACTCTGTCTGGGAAGTACACAGAGTGTTTGTGACCATTGAAAAATATGTCTGGGACGGATAAAATACAAAATCAAACTTAATAAAATGGCGATCATACCTGTAAGACCAATATGAACCCGTAGATGGAAAACTTGGCATTTTTGTACTCAGGGTTGTTAGTTTTACTGTCAACAAACTTCATTGGATGCCCATCAAGAAGACGTTTGACATGTGTGACAAGCAAATCATATGCATCTCTCGACCAGGGCTCCTTCTTGAACTCTTCAAAGTCATTCACAAGCTGAATAGACTTCCGGCTGATCCTAGTTGTCCTATCTTTTCCCAACAGTACATTCTCAACTACAAAGAGGGATGCAAGCTTCACTGGTAGGTCACCTTTCCTTTTTTTACCTCCCCGTACTTCATCAACCTTGTCCTTCATCATCTGGAAAGTGATATCCAGTGATCCACCAAAGTAGGTCTTCGAAATCTCCCCAGGTTCTTCCTCATCTTCAGCGTCTTCATCATCTTTTTCAGTATCTTCGGCAACGGCAGGCCTGGGGGCTGCCGGAGGTAAGCCTGTGATGCGGCAGAAATCGTTGTATGTGAATTCTTCTATTTTGCCCACTATGTTGAACCAGAGCTCATCTTTGGGTTGTTGCTTGACCATACGTAACAACAACATGTGCACGATTTGGGCACAAAACTGAATATCAGGTATGTCAGCAAAATGACCCCATGGTGTCTTCCGAAACTGTGCCATTTGTTGTTTGGAAAGCATGTCCTTCACGTACTTGGAAACATGTTTGACATCCGAGCACATAGAGTACTGCGCAGGGAAATGCTTGCTCAATGGGATCTGGAGTTCAAGTGCCCTATGAGTGTAACAGAACAAACCATAAGCACACAGACATATGTTAAACCACACAGACAAACATTCAGTTATAAACAGACACACAATCAGTCACACAGACATATGTAAAAAAACTTTTGTTTAACTTTATGTTGAAAATAAGTAGACTCAGTGTATTTTAATTATATTTTAATAAGTGAATTGAATTTTAAGAACTATCTTTCAAGGAAGATATTGTCTGAACCTATTTCATTTAAAATTATATTAATGATTGATGATTTATCTATGTTTATTCATTTTACTGCCTGGTGACATGAAGCAGTTATTAGAATAAGTGAATCTAACAAAATCACGAGTGGACATAGTGAAATATATTGACTATTCATTGTGTTTTAATGCTTCAAAATGATGATTGTTCCAAATTTGGTAATTTAATCAACTGTAGTTTCTACTAGTCCTTGTTTAGAAATATTAGTATTACTCAATTAAGTGAAAAAGAGTAAGAAACTTATGGAGGATTAATTGGCACATCAAAATGAAGAACAGAGCAAATTTTACACAAGAGTTATACTTTAGAACTGTTTTATTGTCTTGCATTCAGGCACAATAAAGTCCCCACAGACATATACAGAGCCATACAGACAATCATATAAGTCTTCACGGACAAATGGAGGCACATCCTTTTACATATAAGTTCACACAGACAAATACTTTGACAAATCGATCTTCACAGACAATACATATGTCCTTCAACAGGCATAAAATTCCCCTTACACAGACAATAGTTATTGTTCAAAATCCAAGCAATAGATGGGTTCCAAAACTTCACAAACAGAGATATTTTGCTTCACCATCCAAATTAATATCATCAAATAGCCTAAAATTGTAAAAAAATTAGAGGATACATACCTTTCGGCCATGGTTGCAAGAGGAGTTCGCACCATTTTCGACTCAGAGGGGGAGGAGGATTCGGACCTTGTATGTGCAGCGATTAAGGTCGCCTTTGACGGGGGCTGGCGTGGAGGAGTCTGGCGTTCGACGGAGGGTTGGCAGGATGCCTTCGACGGGGGTTGCAGGGGACGAGGCTAGTCTTCGGGGTTGCTAGGGACGACAGTTGGCTTCGTCGGGAGGTTGGGCAGTTCGAAGGTTGGGCAGCGACGGCCAGCGACGGGGAAGGTTGGGCAGTTCGAAGACGTTCCAGCAACGCAAGGACGAAGCAAAATTGATCGGAGGAAGAAGGGGGGAGATTGGGCAGTTCGAAGGAATGGAGAAGGGGGGATGCGCGAAAATTGAAAATCGGGAGGAAGTATCGCACGTGTGAAAGGGATGGAAAGGGGGTAATTTTTTTTTTAGGTATTTATAGTGTGTATGTGTGTGTAGAGAAAGTGTGTAACAATAGAAAAATTGATTAGATTTCATGAAACCTATTAAAATGATGACCAGAATCATCCTAACCTGCTGTGTTCGCTTCTGTACCACACCACTTTATCTCTTAGCTAACTTGAAGCGTAACCACCGTTGTTCCAATTTTATCGAATGAGTAAATACGTAATAAGTAGCAGTCAGTTGTTATACCGTATGAGGAGCACCGTATACCGGCATACGGTTTTTGGCAAGCAGCGTATTTGGCAAGCACCAGATCTTTATTTTTTATTTCTCTTTTTTTAAAAATGGTAATAACTTTTTTATTTTTGATCCGATTTTTATAAAATTTATACCAACATTTTTAATTTTTCATGATCTTTCAAATGAGACCAATATTGCCTATGTAATTTTAACCTATGTAAAATATGTAATTTTACGTGTAGAAATATGTAACTCACGTCCAGTCAGGCCAAATGCAACTCGTGTGTATAAATATGTAAATCTACGTGTAAAAATATGTAACTTTACTTAAAAAAATATGTAACTCGCGTTCAGACAGGTCAAATGCAACTTGTGTGTATAAATATGTAACTCGCGTGTATAAATATGTAACTTTACGTGTAAAAATATGTAACTCTACGTGTAAATATATGTAACTCGCGTTCAGGCAAGTCAAATGCAACTCGTGTGTATATATATATGTAACTCGCGTGTAGAAATATGTAACTTTACGTGTAAAAATATGTAACTTCACTTATAAAAATATGTAACTCACATGTATAAATACCTAATACAATAAATTTTTTATATACACAATTTTAAGATAATTTGTAATTTACACAATTATTTTTCTGTATTAAAATTAGTTTGGTTTTCCTTATAATCCAATACACATTAATATAATAGTTCGATAATTTCTTAAAATTACATAAGCAATATTGGTCTCATTTGAAAGATCATGAAAAATAAAAAATGTTGATATGAATTTTATAAAAATCAGATCAAAAATAAAAAAGTTATTACCATTTTTTAAAAACAAAAGGATAAAACATAAAGAAATCAGGTCTCAATACTCCGTCGTTTTGCAACCGGGCGCACCATCCTCATGGTGCGCCGGTTGCACGATATAATTTTCGAATAAGTAGTATTACTTTGGCTAACCGGTGAATTTGAAGGTATTGTCGTGTGATTCAAAGGTCACGACTTCTTTATTTCATTTTATTTTTATCGAGGAAGACTTGTCCCTTAAAAGCCATATGGATCCCTCCCTGGACCCTTGCCTCATGGGATACCTTCATCCACTTGACTACCATTTTTAAATAAATATTAAGATACATATAACAACATAAAAATAGTTGACAAAAATGGAGTTTTTTTTCGAATTAATGTTAATTAATTAATTAATTACGAAAATAATGCTGGAAAAAAAGTATTTACCAATATACTGCTGGGCCTTAACCACGGTCAGGAGTAAGTCGCCCAACGGTTGGGCGACTTATAAGTCGCCAAACGGTTTGGCGACTTATAAGTCGCCCAACCGTTGGGCGACTTACTCCTGAAATATGGTTGAAGGCGAGCAGCTACTGCCAGCCACGCACGATCGTGCGTACCCTGGGACGCACGATCGTGCCTAGGTCCAAAAACAACATTTCAGCATATTTTTCGCCCCAATTCAACCCGGACTCATCTGTTTGCTATAAATAAGGTCTCTCTTCTCCTGTTTAAGTGTTACGAGCCAGATACAACACATTATAAAACACATTATAAAACATACAACACACGTATTCTCAATCACATACATAACACCCCCTCTTATCAACATAAAAAACACCTTGAAAATAACCGGTATAACACAGTACAATCATCCAATATTCATAACAAGTAATCATCTAATATTCAGACTCGAACACATCAAGACAACATACAAGACTTTACAAGAGAAAATACGTCAAATGTTGTAAATTGTTCCTACAACATCTACTGCATAAGAAAAACTACAATACAAAAGACAGACTACAAGTTCCCATCGTCAGCTTCGTCATGGAGATGTTGCTGCTCCTGTCTACGCCTACGCCGTTGTCGTGGTTGAAGAACCACTCTCTCATGCTGCGTCTGGGATGATGAAGCCGCCGCTGCACTAGACGTGGATGGCATCTCCTGAGATGGGGGCATGTGTATAAGATGGCCGTAGTCGACTCGCCCCAACACATCTGAACACAAGGACGCAATGCCTGTGAGAGCCTGTCCATACAAGTCCACATCAGGACTATCAGTCACTGTGGCAGTAGCCCGCTGATGTATGCGCTGCAAAGCTCGTGTCTGAAATGTGAAACACAATTACATTTACATTGAAATATATACAAATATTACATAATAAAATGACTTACTTTACTAATTAGTAATATACTCACCGTAAGATGCAAAGCTAAGGAACTAGGCTGATAATGATGAGTAGGGAGTCTGAACGAAGGAGACACAAACAAACGAGTGATGCTGTAATACCATCCCATGTAGTCTCCTGAAACAGATGGCACATATGTCGGTGTCCCGGCCACAACTAGCTCAGCTCTCCTTTCCCACATAGTCACATATCGGACATGTCTGAGTGTCCAATCCTCTGTATGCTTCCCACGCCTATCCAGCCTATGCAGCTCAACATAAGTGTCGATAGGCCGTGGAACCACCTGCTCAAACCCAAACTGTCGCAAGACTCTATCAGGCAAATGAAGCTCAACAATGTCAAAACATATCAACGGCACACGTGCTTGCCATATGTGAGTATGCTCTCGTCCAGCTGGCGACAACTCTGCTAACATCTCAGGTGTAAACGGCATCCATGTAATCTGTTTCATAAAAATACAAAATTAGGAGATTTTCTTTACATATTATAGTTAATGTTATACTACCCACACCATACCTGGTCCTCAGACATCCGATCAAATGCATCCCTGTACACACCGAGCCCAGTAGCGGATGACATGCGAGATAGACCAGCATATAGCCATCTAACCATTCATGTAACAGTATCATTAATATGGATATTATTAATGTATTTACACATACACTCACATTAATACAAACGATTGAAAACATACCGACGGCCTAGAGGGTCCTCGCCCCGTACATGATGAGGTCCTAGAAGACGTGGAGGCTCATCAGGCAGTGGCTGTCCATCAATGCCATGATATCCGACTATAATGGGACGGCCAATGTGGATATACTCCCATGACCAAATCTGGAGGAGTAGCAAAAATCCCCCAAGCTCTGTGCTCCCTCTCTGGCAGCCGCGACAAAGCTGTCTGTACAGGTAAGCCAGGGTGGCACTACCCCAGCTGAACTGTGCTGCTACATCAAACCTCTCTAGCAAAGGCAAGTGCAGCACCTGAACCTCATTTCCGCTCTTGTCAGCGAAAATGGAGGCTCCCATCATCATCAATATATAAGCCCGAGCATGCTGCTGGATCATCACCTCATCAGCGTCGGGAGGAAGCACCTGGAAGTGCTCCCTCAACCATGGCATCCTCAGAGATGACCCCTGAAGGTCAGTCCTAAGAACGGGGCGGATACCTAACAACCGCTCACACTCATCCACCCACTGTCGACAAGCAGTGCCTGTAACAGCTCTCCCATGAACCTCTAACCCGATAAGTACAGCAACATCTCCCAATGTCACTGTCACCTCACCAACTGGGAGGTGAAATGAGTGCGTCTCCTGCCTCCAACGCTCAAGTAGAGCAGTGAGAAGCGCTCTATCTAGAGGCACAGTAGCCACTAATCTGTGAAGAGTATAAAAACCTGCAGCACCAACATACGCTAGTACCCTGTCGTCGATGTGCAAATGCGACAAACCCCGCAGGTGCTCGCGGCACCTATCCACGTGAACATCCATGCCAAGCCACACATCCTCACTCCTGTGTGAGGCCTGCAATGTCAAGACAGAACGATCACTCGGCCCAGGATCCCCTGTCACCTCCATGCCTACACACAAACAAAAATTGTATTAGTTCTTATTCAATAATATATTAAATTTTTTTTAACATCCTTTTTGAAATGATTATTTTTTCTTTCAACGAAAACATTAATTGTAATTCACTCTAAATAGAACCTTACCCAGCGGACCCCCCTCGTTTCTAGACGATCTCTTCGCACATGTGGCTCTATTATGGCCGGTTTGGTGGCATTTTCCACATCTAACCGTTCCTCGTGGACCTTCATCCATCTCATTCTTAATACGTGTCGACTTTGGTCTTCCCTTAGCCCGTAGCATGGATGGAGCATAAGACAAACTACGTTGTCTACACACGGCTAACACATGGGAGCATGGAATCTTATATATTTACATCTTTTTACAAGTGCAAGTTTTCCGTTGTAGATGGACAGTTTGTTTTCTCCCACCCTTTCCCAATGTTCGGCCACCACAACCGGTTTCCACCTGAAATATACCTCGGCCTAAATCAAATGGAGTGACACTGTGATGCTTTGCCTTCTCTCTATTTTTTTCAATTAAATCTGTGATGTGTGGGGAGTACTCGTGGCCTTGTGTGAGCCTCAATTTACTGGTTTCACGCCTAGTAACAAAATATGCGTTAACCCGGTAAAAAGAAACCCGGTACCGTATGTGACACCGCACCCGAACGTCCTTGAAAATTTAATTAAAATTTCAAGCTTATGTAATGGATTTCCGAGCAATTGTAAAACGATTAATGTTTACGTAGTGCATGATTGAATACCGTACTGTTCAAACTCGAATATTAGTGTCGGGTTTTGCAAATACTTATTCGGGACTTATTAATAAATAAAAGAGCCCAACATTATCCAAATAGTGATACATAATCTTTCAAGACAATTTGAGGAAGGTCGGGCGGCCCAAACATTATTTTGGGCCCAACCTGCTAAAAATGGCAAATATTCGGGAATGGCGTTCTAGACCCACTCGGGAGTGACCCACACGGCTAGTAGCCCAATAATATGTATGACAAATGTCAAATAAGTGATAGAATGATTAAAGAAGAATACAAATGCCTATGGTCCCATCTTTAACATTATTGAGCTAAATGATGGGAGTAGGATTTTTCTTCTATAATATCCATTAAGTAAATTATTGTGATAAACCTACACATATTGGAAATCAATAATGTGATGAAGGAAGTTGACTTGTTCTAAATGAATTAGGATGAGTACAAAAAGACATCTTTGACAAAAGATAAAACAATAGGACCCATCTTCCCATTTTTGGAAGTATTGGTAGATAATTTAGATCCCAAAATGATTGGGATCAATTGGGAACCATTCCACATGGACTTAGTACCTGCAAAACAAGTGAAAAGAGGTGAGAAGACCATATGGGGCGGACTCTTGGCTCACATGCACAAAAACTCCAAGAGAAAACAAAAGGGGGAGGTCCACCCCATATTTGATTGCAAACCAAATATCTCCCATGTTCTTTTGTGAGCCACATACTCCTTTAGCATGTTTAGGGGCTCCTAACACACTCCCCATACACCCCATTCGAAGGATGAGAGCAGTCCGCAGGTTCGTTCTTCAGTGCGTAGCTCTGATTGTTTGAGCCATAACTTGAGATTTACTCATCCAAATAAGGCGAGCGAGATACCAACAGAAAGCTCTCAAGACGAGGAATCCGTGAAGGTCTGGTTTGCATCAATCGGAGTAGTGGAAGGCTTCCAAATCGACCGAGCAAAACACGACCTCGCAGAATACGTTTTTGTATTCAAAGTAAGTTTGAATCCAAAACCTTCCTCTCTATTGTCTAAATCATATAAATGATTGAGTAACTATTATACACTGATTGAAGTGTATAAAATGTTATTATTATGTGACTTTAATTGTTGGAAAGGTTAGATACTAACCTAGACAAAACCTTGAAAGGTTAGGGAACGAATTCGTCGGGAAACACCCGTTCTAGGGACTGTTTTTGCATTTTCGGTTAGGAGTTGAACTAGCACTTTGAGAGGGCTGTTTAACACTCAATTCCAAGCAAGGAATCAGTTCTCAACCTTCCTTGGCCGAGGCTTTGGTCATTGGATCGAGAAGGAAAGTTTTAAAGCTCATTTGAGGTGAGGATTGACATCTAATTGCTTACAACTTGTAGGTTAAGCATGAGATTACCTAAATGCTTAAATCATGATTTTTCATGGATTATGATGATTATATATTGATGAAATATTGATATAGTTGCCAAAGAATGAAATTTGAAATGATTTGAGAAGGTATGAATAATATGAGATTAAATGAGCATAAATGAACTATTTTGTGAAAATGGGCATTTTGCTCATGTATGAATTATGTGGATACATAAATGAATATTTGTGTATTGAGATTGAATACTTAAGTTGCTGCTACATAATTATAAATATGTAGAGAATTACAAATAATGAGGATAATGGTATGATAACAATAACCTTAATAGTATTGAAATACTAGTTAGTGATTATTGGAACTTGTTGATTAAATCGATCCTAGGGATTGGATTGTATGAAAGGTACTTGAATATAGTTCAAGTGTATATAATAACTTAGTATGGAACTAAGGTTAAGTTATGGGAAGTCTTTAAGGATGACCCACGGTAGTTTAATGATATGTAAATTCTAGGCATAGGGTTGCTTGAGAATTGGACCTTAATGCATGGTGATGTAATAGAGCCGAGCTCTAGAATGCATGTAAGGTGTAGACTTGGAGTCTATGTATTGTATAGCTAGAGCCGAGCTCTAGGACTTGCGTGGTGATGTGATAGAGCCGAGCTCTAGAACGCAAGGTAAGGAAATTGACCCGAGGTATATGAATTGTATGGTGATGTGGTAGAGCCGAGCTCTAGAATACAATGTCATGTACTAGGGTTAGACTCTAGGAGTTGTCGTGGCTTATAGTCACGGGGTTGGGAATGGTGATTTCCAAATGAACATGGGCCCACGGGCCGACTACTTGACTTTTATATAAAGTAAGTATATTTTTCAAATGGGTAACTTAGGGTTACAAATCATAATATACTATCACCCTATTTGAGGGTCTTGTGTTTGAAATACTTGTTGTATATCTATTAGATGCCTGCCACACCAGTACTTTATAGCCGTATAGAGTACTGACCCCTTCGGGGGCGTCCCACCACCATTTCAGGTTGAGGCTAGAGCTTGCTTCCTGTGCTCGTTGCCCGAGTGATTTCCCCGGAGAGAAGACTTGGTTCGTGCTTCCTCCATCCTGTTTTAGAACATTAATAAACATGCTCATGGATATTTTACTTTAGAGCCTGCGTGCTCATGTTTGCCCTGTGTGGCCCTTTTGCTTTAAACAATGTTTTCCGCTGTGTATTGAATTGTTTATTATGTATGTTTATGGATGACTTATGTGTGAATGATATTCATGACGCCTTGTATAATATGAATGTGTTGGACTGCGGTTGACTATTCGTATTGTACGGCGGGTTGTTGACGTGTCCGGGGAGGTCCGGGGCGTGACAATTAAGTTGGTATCAGAGCCTTAGTCCATAAACTTCATAATGAAGTCTCAAAATTCTCTTTTTGAAAAGATTTTGAAAACCATGAGCATAGAAGTTTTGTACTTGGAGAGCTTTTGGTACTTGGGTTGCAAGGTCTCTAATTGTTAAGATGGTACCCTTAGCAATTGGTATGGCGGTGACTCGAGCCAAAATGTGTCTTAAGTACCTATCCGTCAATTGACATTTGATACGAGTCTAACGACTCTTTCCAAATTTCTTTCAGAAATGGACCGTGGTGGCAGGATTACTAGGAGAAACCCGACGGGTCGTGTACCAGTGGAGACTGGACAGGGCAGTCGAAGGGCCTCTAGGGCATCTAGAGGAGCTGGCCGTGGAGGCCGATCACAGACCGTGAGTGACGGTCATGTCGACACGGAAAGTGAAACCTACTGGTCCTATGAGGACTCGACCTATCGACCGGAAACTGAACCGGTTGAGACCCCTTATGAAGGGGATGATGACGATGTAAGTGATGAGGAGGAAAATGGCTCCTTAGCACGGATCGAAACACTACTCCAACAATACCACCGGGAGCGTGAAGAGAGGAGGCAACGCCGAAGACGCCGAGCGGGGCAGCCTTCGGGCATGGCTTCAAGAGGAGGAAGTCATGGTACATCTAGAGTCCATGTGGAACCACATGGAGGCCAAAATGATGGAGGTCAAACCATAAGGATCTCCAAATTTATCAAGGAAGCAAGAGATTTGGGGTGCAAACCCTTTGATGGAGCAGGGGACATTTCAGTTGCAGCACAATGGATCAAGAGACTAAATGAAGCAGCCCTTGACATGCAAATCGCGCCGAATCTCAAACTGAGAATTGCGGTAAGATTGCTCGAGGGGATGGCATCCAAGTGGTGGGATGGAACCAAGAGCAAGTACGGTGAGACCGTCGTTTGGGAAGACTTCCAACGGGAGTTCTTTGCCCAATATTATTCTGATTTTGAAGTGAACAAGAAGGTGAGGGAATACACCCTCCTAACCCAAGGGGGTAACATGACAGTGAAGGAACTTGAGTACAAGTTCCGGGATCTCGCCGACTACATACCGGAGTATGCTTGCGATGAGAACCGAATGGTAAACCACTTTTGGGATGCTCTTGACTTGGAGATACGTGATAGGGCAACACAATTGCCTAATATGACTTTCGCCCAAGTGGTTGACCAAGCGTTGAAGGGGGAGAAACAGTGGGAGGAGAGGAAGAAGAGAGACGCCGAGGAGGCGAAAAAGAGAAAGTGGGAGAGTCATGGCTCCCAAGGTTCCAACAAAAAGGGGAACCATGGAGGAGGGTCTTTCCGGGCACCGCCGCCACCGTCTAGGGGGAACCAAGGCCCGAGTGGGCAAGGCGTGAGGTCACAAACCTCAGTGGTAACTCGTTGCAACAATTGCAAGAAGCACCACTCCGGTAAATGTCGCGACCCCCCTAGATGTTTTCAATGTGGGGATGCCGGACATTTGAAGGCGCATTGCCCACAACTGGGCGGGGCAAGGACATCGGGACCAAGTAGTGGCCCGACGGGTACACGGAATCAGACCGGGGCTTCTCAAGCAAGCAGGGGACAAGGGGGAGCAAGCGCGAGCAATGCGCCATCCGTGAATCAAGGAAGGACTCAAGCTAGAGTCTATGCGATGACGGAGGCGGATGCTCGAGCGAACCCAGATTCCGTTGCAGGTAATTATCTCATTAAAGTGGGGTATTTTAGCCTTATTTAAGGTGTATTTGATTTTGGAGTAAGGCCCGGCCACCGTAGGAGCAAAACCGGGCATTCCGAGTCACGAAAACGAAGTAATGTCGAGGTACTCGCCCAGACCGGCGCCGGTCCGAGGCTACCCGGCGCCGGACATGCCCTGGAGAGCAGCCTGTTTCGGACCGGCCCTCTCCAACCGGCGCACAACAGGGAAATTTTCCAGCCAACCGGCGCCGGCCACTGGCCAACCGGCGCCGGACCGTCCCTGGGATGGGCCTGTGTCCGACCGGCCCTCTACAACCGGCGCTGATGGCCTGCGAAACCCACCCAACCGGCGCCGGACACCCACCAACCGGCGCCGGACCTTCGTTGGAAGCGGCCTGTGTCGAACCGGCCCATTTTAACCGGTGCAGCTGGGACGCTTAACCCAGACAACCGGCGCCGGACAGGCCTGAACCGGCGCCGGTCCGAAGCTGTTTTCGTCCGAAAATTTTCCGTATCAAAACGGGACCCACCCCGTTTGAACGGTAAATGCACCCTAACCCTAAATAAAGTTTAGACATGTTAGGAATGGTGTCTTACATGGCTTATAAATGTAGGAACATTAAAGATTAATGGGAAGGATGCACGAATCCTTATCGATACCGGAGCGCAACGTTCATTCGTGAGTGAGGCGTTCGCCGAGGATTTAGGGATACAATCGATCCCAATGACGCAAACTCTAGTGGTATCAACACCACTAGGGGATGACATTGAAAGAGCTACTTACTATCCATCTTGTGAGGTGGAGATCGATGGCCAAACCTTGACGTGTGATTTCGTACCGCTGAGTATGATGGAGTTCGATGCAATCCTAGGGATGGATTGGCTAGAAAAGCATCATGCTAGGGTAGATTGCTACACAAAGGTTTTGGAACTCGAAGGCAATGATGGGGACACCCTACGCTTCGAGGGGGATCGAGGCAAATCAAACAGTTGTATCATATCCGCCGTGAGAGCGAGAAGTATGATAAGAAAGGGGTGCCACGCATATCTAGCATACGTGGTTGACAAAACCAAGGAGGAAACAAACATCGACGACGTGAGGGTGGTTTGTAAGTATCCGGATGTCTTTCCTAAAGACCTACCGGGGCTTCCACCTGATAGGGAGATTGAATTTGTGATCGAGGTCGAGCCTGGTACCAAACCAATCTCCATACCGCCATACCGTATGGCACCCGCTGAACTTAACGAGTTGAAAACCCAATTGCAAGAGCTTTTGGATAACGGTTTCATTAGACCAAGCCACTCCCCGTGGGGAGCACCCGTTCTTTTTGTGAAAAAGAAAGATGGGACACTTCGAATGTGTATTGACTATCGTCAACTGAACAAGGTCACAATCAAGAATAGGTATCCCCTGCCTAGGATTGATGACTTGTTTGATCAACTACGAGGGGCAACCGTGTTTTCAAAGATTGACTTGAGGTCGGGTTACCATCAATTGAAGATTAAGGAAGATGACATACCAAAAAGTGCTTTTCGCACAAGGTATGGGCACTTTGAATTCCTTGTTATGTCGTTTGGGTTAACAAACGCCCCAGCGGCATTCATGGACTTGATGAACCGAGTATTCCATAAATACTTGGATCGATTCGTGATTGTGTTCATCGATGACATCTTGATTTACTCAAAGAGTGAAGAAGAGCACGAGGAGCACTTGATACTTGTTCTAGAGACACTACGGGAGAAGCAACTTTATGCCAAATTTTCTAAATGTGAATTTTGGCTAAAGGAAATTGGCTTTCTCGGGCACGTGGTTTCGGGATCGGGAATTGCTGTTGATAACAAGAAGATAGAAGCCATTACCGAATGGGAGAGGCCAAAGAACGTCAAGGAAATTCGTAGTTTCCTTGGATTGGCAGGCTACTACAGAAAGTTCGTGGAGAAGTTCTCTGTTTTGGCATCGCCATTGACGAAGCTCACTCGTAAAGGAGCTAAGTTTGTATGGGATGACAAATGTGAGAAAGGGTTCATGGAACTAAAGAAGAGATTGACTGAGGCACCGGTACTTGCATTACCCAAACAGGGTGTGGGGTATGATGTCTATAGCGATGCGAGCATCCAAGGGTTTGGATGTGTACTGATGCAGAATGGGAGGGTAATCGCCTATGCTTCACGACAGTTGAAGAAGCATGAGGTGAATTATCCTACTCATGATTTGGAGCTGGGGGCTGTGGTGTTTGCACTGAAGATATGGAGACATTATCTCTACGGGGAGACATGTCACATATACACTGATCACAAGAGCTTGAAATACGTGTTTACTCAGAAAGAGCTAAACATGAGACAGAGACGGTGGATGGAGTTGATAAAAGACTACCATCTAGTGATAGAGTATCACCCAGGCAAGGCAAACGTGGTGGCAGATGCTTTGAGCCGGAAGAGCTCGTCTGGGGCATTGCTAGCTAATTTGAGAGCATTAAGAGCCCAACTGGAGGTATCCAGCGATGGTGCCTTATTGGCACGATTCGAAGTGAGACCGACCTTACTTGATGAGATCAAGAAGGGTCAAGAGACTGACGCAGAACTTATGAAGGTCCGGGAACGCATGCAAGCGGGACCGGTGGAGGATTTCAGGGAAAGAGATGATGGTCTCTTGTTATTTCGTGACCGAGTGTGTGTGCCGTCAGATGATGAGCTCCGAAAGTCCATCTTAGAGGAGGCTCATTCATCGGCTTATGCCATGCACCCGGGGGGCACGAAAATGTACCGTGATTTGAAAGAAAGTTACTGGTGGTCTGGAATGAAGAGGGAAATAGCCGAGTACATCAGTCGATGCCTTACTTGTCAACAAGTTAAGGCAGAACATCAGCATCCAGCAGGCTTGTTACAACCACTTTCCATTCCTGAGTGGAAGTGGGAACATGTGACTATGGATTTCGTGGTAGGTTTACCACGGACAATTCGGAACTACGATGCAGTTTGGGTTGTTGTGGATAGGCTCACAAAGAGTGCACACTTCTTGCCTATCAACACTACCTACCCACTTGAGAGGTTAGCCAAATTGTATACGGATGAGATCGTGAGGCTGCATGGGGTCCCAGTGACCATTGTATCCGATAGAGACCCACGATTCACATCACGTTTTTGGCCGAAATTTCAAGAGTCTATGGGAACGAGGTTGAAGTTCAGTACTGCATTCCATCCACAGACGGATGGGCAGTCTGAAAGGGTTATACAGATCTTAGAGGATATGCTGAGGGCTTGTGCGTTAGAGTTTCAAGGAAGTTGGGACAACCACTTAGCACTCGTGGAGTTTGCCTATAACAACAGTTATCAGGCAAGTATCGGCATGCCTCCATATGAAGCATTGTATGGGAGGAGGTGTCGTACACCGTTATGCTGGGACGAGGTTGGCATGGCCAAACTCGAGGGCACTGAGTTGGTTGAGATCACCAAGTCGAAGGTGAAGTTGATTCGAGAGAGACTCAAAGCGGCTCAGGATAGACAAAAGAGTTATGCGGATAAGCGTCGAAGAACCTTAGAGTTTAAGGTTGATGACGAGGTATTCTTGAAAGTTTCTCCTTGGAAAGGAATCATTCGATTCCAAACCCGAGGGAAGCTTAACCCACGATACATAGGTCCATTCAGAATTATAGAGAGGATTGAGGCCGTTGCATATCGTCTGCAGTTGACTCCTGAGTTAGAGAAGATACATAATGTGTTTCATGTATCCATGCTTAAGAAGTATGTGCATGATCCCTCTCACGTATTGGAAAAGCCGCCTGTAGAAGTACGTGAGGATTTGAACTACGCTGTGCAACCAATCAAGGTCACCGATAGAAAGGTGAAGAAACTGAGGAGTAAAGAAGTCCCAATGGTTAAAGTCCTTTGGAAGAGCGATCGGGTCGAAGAAGAGACCTGGGAAACAGAGGCTTTGATGAGGAAGCAGTATGCTTTTCTATTCGAGTAGCTAGAGTTGTGAATTTCGGGGACGAAATTCCTGTTAAGGGGGGGTGAACTTGTGACACCGCACCCGAACGTCCTTGAAAATTTAATTAAAATTTCAAGCTTATGTAATGGATTTCCGAGCAATTGTAAAACGATTAATGTTTACGTAGTGCATGATTGAATACCGTACTGTTCAAACTCGAATATTAGTGTCGGGTTTTGCAAATACTTATTCGGGACTTATTAATAAATAAAAGAGCCCAACATTATCCAAATAGTGATACATAATCTTTCAAGACAATTTGAGGAAGGTCGGGCGGCCCAAACATTATTTTGGGCCCAACCTGCTAAAAATGGCAAATATTCGGGAATGGCGTTCTAGACCCACTCGGGAGTGACCCACACAGCTAGTAGCCCAATAATATGTATGACAAATGTCAAATAAGTGATAGAATGATTAAAGAAGAATACAAATGCCTATGGTCCCATCTTTAACATTATTGAGCTAAATGATGGGAGTAGGATTTTTCTTCTATAATATCCATTAAGTAAATTATTGTGATAAACCTACACATATTGGAAATCAATAATGTGATGAAGGAAGTTGACTTGTTCTAAATGAATTAGGATGAGTACAAAAAGACATCTTTGACAAAAGATAAAACAATAGGACCCATCTTCCCATTTTTGGAAGTATTGGTAGATAATTTAGATCCCAAAATGATTGGGATCAATTGGGAACCATTCCACATGGACTTAGTACCTGCAAAACAAGTGAAAAGAGGTGAGAAGACCATATGGGGCGGACTCTTGGCTCACATGCACAAAAACTCCAAGAGAAAACAAAAGGGGGAGGTCCACCCCATATTTGATTGCAAACCAAATATCTCCCATGTTCTTTTGTGAGCCACATACTCCTTTAGCATGTTTAGGGGCTCCTAACACACTCCCCATACACCCCATTCGAACCCCCAAAGAGATAAGAGAGCAAGGGAATCCACACAACCCAAGAGAGAAGGAAGGAGGAGAGCAGTCCGCAGGTTCGTTCTTCAGTGCGTAGCTCTGATTGTTTGAGCCATAACTTGAGATTTACTCATCCAAATAAGGCGAGCGAGATACCAACAGAAAGCTCTCAAGACGAGGAATCCGTGAAGGTCTGGTTTGCATCAATCGGAGTAGTGGAAGGCTTCCAAATCGACCGAGCAAAACACGACCTCGCAGAATACGTTTTTGTATTCAAAGTAAGTTTGAATCCAAAACCTTCCTCTCTATTGTCTAAATCATATAAATGATTGAGGAACTATTATACACTGATTGAAGTGTATAAAATGTTATTATTATGTGACTTTAATTGTTGGAAAGGTTAGATACTAACCTAGACAAAACCTTGAAAGGTTAGGGAACGAATTCGTCGGGAAACACCCGTTCTAGGGACTGTTTTTGCATTTTCGGTTAGGAGTTGAACTAGCACTTTGAGAGGGCTGTTTAACACTCAATTCCAAGCAAGGAATCAGTTCTCAACCTTCCTTGGCCGAGGCTTTGGTCATTGGATCGAGAAGGAAAGTTTTAAAGCTCATTTGAGGTGAGGATTGACATCTAATTGCTTACAACTTGTAGATTAAGCATGAGATTACCTAAATGCTTAAATCATGATTTTTCATGGATTATGATGATTATATATTGATGAAATATTGATATAGTTGCCAAAGAATGAAATTTGAAATGATTTGAGAAGGTATGAATAATATGAGATTAAATGAGCATAAATGAACTATTTTGTGAAAATGGGCATTTTGCTCATGTATGAATTATGTGGATACATAAATGAATATTTGTGTATTGAGATTGAATACTTAAGTTGCTGCTACATAATTATAAATATGTAGAGAATTACAAATAATGAGGATAATGGTATGATAACAATAACCTTAATAGTATTGAAATACTAGTTAGTGATTATTGGAACTTGTTGATTAAATCGATCCTAGGGATTGGATTGTATGAAAGGTACTTGAATATAGTTCAAGTGTATATAATAACTTAGTATGGAACTAAGGTTAAGTTATGGGAAGTCTTTAAGGATGACCCACGGTAGTTTAATGATATGTAAATTCTAGGCATAGGGTTGCTTGAGAATTGGACCTTAATGCATGGTGATGTAATAGAGCCGAGCTCTAGAATGCATGTAAGGTGTAGACTTGGAGTCTATGTATTGTATAGCTAGAGCCGAGCTCTAGGACTTGCGTGGTGATGTGATAGAGCCGAGCTCTAGAACGCAAGGTAAGGAAATTGACCCGAGGTATATGAATTGTATGGTGATGTGGTAGAGCCGAGCTCTAGAATACAATGTCATGTACTAGGGTTAGACTCTAGGAGTTGTCGTGGCTTATAGTCACGGGGTTGGGAATGGTGATTTCCAAATGAACATGGGCCCACGGGCCGACTACTTGACTTTTATATAAAGTAAGTATATTTTTCAAATGGGTAACTTAGGGTTACAAATCATAATATACTATCACCCTATTTGAGGGTCTTGTGTTTGAAATACTTGTTGTATATCTATTAGATGCCTGCCACACCAGTACTTTATAGCCGTATAGAGTACTGACCCCTTCGGGGGCGTCCCACCACCATTTCAGGTTGAGGCTAGAGCTTGCTTCCTGTGCTCGTTGCCCGAGTGATTTCCCCGGAGAGAAGACTTGGTTCGTGCTTCCTCCATCCTGTTTTAGAACATTAATAAACATGCTCATGGATATTTTACTATAGAGCCTGCGTGCTCATGTTTGCCCTGTGTGGCCCTTTTGCTTTAAACAATGTTTTCCGCTGTGTATTGAATTGTTTATTATGTATGTTTATGGATGACTTATGTGTGAATGATATTCATGACGCCTTGTATAATATGAATGTGTTGGACTGCGGTTGACTATTCGTATTGTACGGCGGGTTGTTGACGTGTCCGGGGAGGTCCGGGGCGTGACAATTAAGTTGGTATCAGAGCCTTAGTCCATAAACTTCATAATGAAGTCTCAAAATTCTCTTTTTGAAAAGATTTTGAAAACCATGAGCATAGAAGTTTTGTACTTGGAGAGCTTTTGGTACTTGGGTTGCAAGGTCTCTAATTGTTAAGATGGTACCCTTAGCAATTGGTATGGCGGTGACTCGAGCCAAAATGTGTCTTAAGTACCTATCCGTCAATTGACATTTGATACGAGTCTAACAACTCTTTCCAAATTTCTTTCAGAAATGGACCGTGGTGGCAGGATTACTAGGAGAAACCCGACGGGTCGTGTACCAGTGGAGACTGGACAGGGCAGTCGAAGGACCTCTAGGGCATCTAGAGGAGCTGGCCGTGGAGGCCGATCACAGACCGTGAGTGACGGTCATGTCGACACGGAAAGTGAAACCTACTGGTCCTATGAGGACTCGACCTATCGACCGGAAACTGAACCGGTTGAGACCCCTTATGAAGGGGATGATGACGATGTAAGTGATGAGGAGGAAAATGGCTCCTTAGCACGGATCGAAACACTACTCCAACAATACCACCGGGAGCGTGAAGAGAGGAGGCAACGCCGAAGACGCCGAGCGGGGCAGCCTTCGGGCATGGCTTCAAGAGGAGGAAGTCATGGTACATCTAGAGTCCATGTGGAACCACATGGAGGCCAAAATGATGGAGGTCAAACCATAAGGATCTCCAAATTTATCAAGGAAGCAAGAGATTTGGGGTGCAAACCCTTTGATGGAGCAGGGGACATTTCAGTTGCAGCACAATGGATCAAGAGACTAAATGAAGCAGCCCTTGACATGCAAATCGCGCCGAATCTCAAACTGAGAATTGCGGTAAGATTGCTCGAGGGGATGGCATCCAAGTGGTGGGATGGAACCAAGAGCAAGTACGGTGAGACCGTCGTTTGGGAAGACTTCCAACGGGAGTTCTTTGCCCAATATTATTCTGATTTTGAAGTGAACAAGAAGGTGAGGGAATACACCCTCCTAACCCAAGGGGGGTAACATGACAGTGAAGGAACTTGAGTACAAGTTCCGGGATCTCGCCGACTACATACCGGAGTATGCTTGCGACGAGAACCGAATGGTAAACCACTTTTGGGATGCTCTTGACTTGGAGATACGTGATAGGGCAACACAATTGCCTAATATGACTTTCGCCCAAGTGGTTGACCAAGCGTTGAAGGGGGAGAAACAGTGGGAGGAGAGGAAGAAGAGAGACGCCGAGGAGGCGAAAAAGAGAAAGTGGGAGAGTCATGGCTCCCAAGGTTCCAACAAAAAGGGGAACCATGGAGGAGGGTCTTTCCGGGCACCGCCGCCACCGTCTAGGGGGAACCAAGGCCCCAGTGGGCAAGGCGTGAGGTCACAAACCTCAGTGGTAACTCGTTGCAACAATTGCAAGAAGCACCACTCCGGTAAATGTCGCGACCCCCCCTAGATGTTTTCAATGTGGGGATGCCGGACATTTGAAGGCGCATTGCCCACAACTGGGCGGGGCAAGGACATCGGGACCAAGTAGTGGCCCGACGGGTACACGGAATCAGACCGGGGCTTCTCAAGCAAGCAGGGGACAAGGGGGAGCAAGCGCGAGCAATGCGCCATCCGTGAATCAAGGAAGGACTCAAGCTAGAGTCTATGCGATGACGGAGGCGGATGCTCGAGCGAACCCAGATTCCGTTGCAGGTAATTATCTCATTAAAGTGGGGTATTTTAGCCTTATTTAAGGTGTATTTGATTTTGGAGTAAGGCCCGGCCACCGTAGGAGCAAAACCGGGCATTCCGAGTCACGAAAACGAAGTAATGTCGAGGTACTCGCCCAGACCGGCGCCGGTCCGAGGCTACCCGGCGCCGGACATGCCCTGGAGAGCAGCCTGTTTCGGACCGGCCCTCTCCAACCGGCGCACAACAGGGAAATTTTCCAGCCAACCGGCGCCGGCCACTGGCCAACCGGCGCCGGACCGTCCCTGGGATGGGCCTGTGTCCGACCGGCCCTCTACAACCGGCGCTGATGGCCTGCGAAACCCACCCAACCGGCACCGGACACCCACCAACCGGCGCCGGACCTTCGTTGGAAGCGGCCTGTGTCGAACCGGCCCATTTTAACCGGTGCAGCTGGGACGCTTAACCCAGACAACCGGCGCCGGACAGGCCTGAACCGGCGCCGGTCCGAAGCTGTTTTCGTCCGAAAATTTTCCGTATCAAAACGGGACCCACCCCGTTTGAACGGTAAATGCACCCTAACCCTAAATAAAGTTTAGACATGTTAGGAATGGTGTCTTACATGGCTTATAAATGTAGGAACATTAAAGATTAATGGGAAGGATGCACGAATCCTTATCGATACCGGAGCGCAACGTTCATTCGTGAGTGAGGCGTTCGCCGAGGATTTAGGGATACAATCGATCCCAATGACGCAAACTCTAGTGGTATCAACACCACTAGGGGATGACATTGAAAGAGCTACTTACTATCCATCTTGTGAGGTGGAGATCGATGGCCAAACCTTGACGTGTGATTTCGTACCGCTGAGTATGATGGAGTTCGATGCAATCCTAGGGATGGATTGGCTAGAAAAGCATCATGCTAGGGTAGATTGCTACACAAAGGTTTTGGAACTCGAAGGCAATGATGGGGACACCCTACGCTTCGAGGGGGATCGAGGCAAATCAAACAGTTGTATCATATCCGCCGTGAGAGCGAGAAGTATGATAAGAAAGGGGTGCCACGCATATCTAGCATACGTGGTTGACAAAACCAAGGAGGAAACAAACATCGACGACGTGAGGGTGGTTTGTAAGTATCCGGATGTCTTTCCTAAAGACCTACCGGGGCTTCCACCTGATAGGGAGATTGAATTTGTGATCGAGGTCGAGCCTGGTACCAAACCAATCTCCATACCGCCATACCGTATGGCACCCGCTGAACTTAACGAGTTGAAAACCCAATTGCAAGAGCTTTTGGATAACGGTTTCATTAGACCAAGCCACTCCCCGTGGGGAGCACCCGTTCTTTTTGTGAAAAAGAAAGATGGGACACTTCGAATGTGTATTGACTATCGTCAACTGAACAAGGTCACAATCAAGAATAGGTATCCCCTGCCTAGGATTGATGACTTGTTTGATCAACTACGAGGGGCAACCGTGTTTTCAAAGATTGACTTGAGGTCGGGTTACCATCAATTGAAGATTAAGGAAGATGACATACCAAAAAGTGCTTTTCGCACAAGGTATGGGCACTTTGAATTCCTTGTTATGTCGTTTGGGTTAACAAACGCCCCAGCGGCATTCATGGACTTGATGAACCGAGTATTCCATAAATACTTGGATCGATTCGTGATTGTGTTCATCGATGACATCTTGATTTACTCAAAGAGTGAAGAAGAGCACGAGGAGCACTTGATACTTGTTCTAGAGACACTACGGGAGAAGCAACTTTATGCCAAATTTTCTAAATGTGAATTTTGGCTAAAGGAAATTGGCTTTCTCGGGCACGTGGTTTCGGGATCGGGAATTGCTGTTGATAACAAGAAGATAGAAGCCATTACCGAATGGGAGAGGCCAAAGAACGTCAAGGAAATTCGTAGTTTCCTTGGATTGGCAGGCTACTACAGAAAGTTCGTGGAGAAGTTCTCTGTTTTGGCATCGCCATTGACGAAGCTCACTCGTAAAGGAGCTAAGTTTGTATGGGATGACAAATGTGAGAAAGGGTTCATGGAACTAAAGAAGAGATTGACTGAGGCACCGGTACTTGCATTACCCAAACAGGGTGTGGGGTATGATGTCTATAGCGATGCGAGCATCCAAGGGTTTGGATGTGTACTGATGCAGAATGGGAGGGTAATCGCCTATGCTTCACGACAGTTGAAGAAGCATGAGGTGAATTATCCTACTCATGATTTGGAGCTGGGGGCTGTGGTGTTTGCACTGAAGATATGGAGACATTATCTCTACGGGGAGACATGTCACATATACACTGATCACAAGAGCTTGAAATACGTGTTTACTCAGAAAGAGCTAAACATGAGACAGAGACGGTGGATGGAGTTGATAAAAGACTACCATCTAGTGATAGAGTATCACCCAGGCAAGGCAAACGTGGTGGCAGATGCTTTGAGCCGGAAGAGCTCGTCTGGGGCATTGCTAGCTAATTTGAGAGCATTAAGAGCCCAACTGGAGGTATCCAGCGATGGTGCCTTATTGGCACGATTCGAAGTGAGACCGACCTTACTTGATGAGATCAAGAAGGGTCAAGAGACTGACGCAGAACTTATGAAGGTCCGGGAACGCATGCAAGCGGGACCGGTGGAGGATTTCAGGGAAAGAGATGATGGTCTCTTGTTATTTCGTGACCGAGTGTGTGTGCCGTCAGATGATGAGCTCCGAAAGTCCATCTTAGAGGAGGCTCATTCATCGGCTTATGCCATGCACCCGGGGGGCACGAAAATGTACCGTGATTTGAAAGAAAGTTACTGGTGGTCTGGAATGAAGAGGGAAATAGCCGAGTACATCAGTCGATGCCTTACTTGTCAACAAGTTAAGGCAGAACATCAGCATCCAGCAGGCTTGTTACAACCACTTTCCATTCCTGAGTGGAAGTGGGAACATGTGACTATGGATTTCGTGGTAGGTTTACCACGGACAATTCGGAACTACGATGCAGTTTGGGTTGTTGTGGATAGGCTCACAAAGAGTGCACACTTCTTGCCTATCAACACTACCTACCCACTTGAGAGGTTAGCCAAATTGTATACGGATGAGATCGTGAGGCTGCATGGGGTCCCAGTGACCATTGTATCCGATAGAGACCCACGATTCACATCACGTTTTTGGCCGAAATTTCAAGAGTCTATGGGAACGAGGTTGAAGTTCAGTACTGCATTCCATCCACAGACGGATGGGCAGTCTGAAAGGGTTATACAGATCTTAGAGGATATGCTGAGGGCTTGTGCGTTAGAGTTTCAAGGAAGTTGGGACAACCACTTAGCACTCGTGGAGTTTGCCTATAACAACAGTTATCAGGCAAGTATCGGCATGCCTCCATATGAAGCATTGTATGGGAGGAGGTGTCGTACACCGTTATGCTGGGACGAGGTTGGCATGGCCAAACTCGAGGGCACTGAGTTGGTTGAGATCACCAAGTCGAAGGTGAAGTTGATTCGAGAGAGACTCAAAGCGGCTCAGGATAGACAAAAGAGTTATGCGGATAAGCGTCGAAGAACCTTAGAGTTTAAGGTTGATGACGAGGTATTCTTGAAAGTTTCTCCTTGGAAAGGAATCATTCGATTCCAAACCCGAGGGAAGCTTAACCCACGATACATAGGTCCATTCAGAATTATAGAGAGGATTGAGGCCGTTGCATATCGTCTGCAGTTGACTCCTGAGTTAGAGAAGATACATAATGTGTTTCATGTATCCATGCTTAAGAAGTATGTGCATGATCCCTCTCACGTATTGGAAAAGCCGCCTGTAGAAGTACGTGAGGATTTGAACTACGCTGTGCAACCAATCAAGGTCACCGATAGAAAGGTGAAGAAACTGAGGAGTAAAGAAGTCCCAATGGTTAAAGTCCTTTAGAAGAGCGATCGGGTCGAAGAAGAGACCTGGGAAACAGAGGCTTTGATGAGGAAGCAGTATGCTTTTCTATTCGAGTAGCTAGAGTTGTGAATTTCGGGGACGAAATTCCTGTTAAGGGGGGGTGAACTTGTGACACCGCACCCGAACGTCCTTGAAAATTTAATTAAAATTTCAAGCTTATGTAATGGATTTCCGAGCAATTGTAAAACGATTAATGTTTACGTAGTGCATGATTGAATACCGTACTGTTCAAACTCGAATATTAGTGTCGGGTTTTGCAAATACTTATTCGGGACTTATTAATAAATAAAAGAGCCCAACATTATCCAAATAGTGATACATAATCTTTCAAGACAATTTGAGGAAGGTCGGGCGGCCCAAACATTATTTTGGGCCCAACCTGCTAAAAATGGCAAATATTCGGGAATGGCGTTCTAGACCCACTCGGGAGTGACCCACACGGCTAGTAGCCCAATAATATGTATGACAAATGTCAAATAAGTGATAGAATGATTAAAGAAGAATACAAATGCCTATGGTCCCATCTTTAACATTATTGAGCTAAATGATGGGAGTAGGATTTTTCTTCTATAATATCCATTAAGTAAATTATTGTGATAAACCTACACATATTGGAAATCAATAATGTGATGAAGGAAGTTGACTTGTTCTAAATGAATTAGGATGAGTACAAAAAGACATCTTTGACAAAAGATAAAACAATAGGACCCATCTTCCCATTTTTGGAAGTATTGGTAGATAATTTAGATCCCAAAATGATTGGGATCAATTGGGAACCATTCCACATGGACTTAGTACCTCCAAAACAAGTGAAAAGAGGTGAGAAGACCATATGGGGCGGACTCTTGGCTCACATGCACAAAAACTCCAAGAGAAAACAAAAGGGGGAGGTCCACCCCATATTTGATTGCAAACCAAATATCTCCCATGTTCTTTTGTGAGCCACATACTCCTTTAGCATGTTTAGGGGCTCCTAACACACTCCCCATACACCCCATTCGAACCCCCAAAGAGATAAGAGAGCAAGGGAATCCACACAACCCAAGAGAGAAGGAAGGAGGAGAGCAGTCCGCAGGTCTTCACAATGACATACTCTCAACAATATTAAAAACACCTTATAAACACCCGTAAAAACCCTTCAAATCATAACCGGAATAACACAATACAATCATCATATATGCCATAACAAGTAATCATCTAATATTCATACTCGAACACATCAATACTCCATACAATACTTAACAAGACAAAATACATCAAAACTTGTACATTGTTCGTACAACATCTACTGCATAAGAAAAACTACAATACAAAAGACAAACTACAAGTTCTCATCATCAGCTTCGTCATGGAGATGTTGCTGCTCATGTCTACGCCTACGGCGTTGTCGTGGTTGAAGAACCACTCTCTCATGTTGCGTCTGGGATGATGAAGCCGCGGTTGCACTAGACGTGGATGCCATCTCCTGAGATGGGGGCATGTGTATAAGATGTCCGTAGTCTACTCGGCCCAACACATCTGAGCACAACGAGGCAATGCCTGTCAGAGCCTGTCCATACATGTCCACATCAGGAATATCAGTCACAGTGGCAGTAGCCCGCTGATGTATGCGCTGCAAAGCTCGTGTCTGAAATATGAAACACAATTACAATTACATTCAAATACATACAAGTATTACATAAATAAAATGACTTACTTTACTAATTACTAATATACTCACCGTAAGATGCAAAGCCAAGGAGCTAGGCTGATAATGATGAGTAGGGAGTCTGAACGAAGGAGACACAAATAACCGAGTGATGCTGTAGTACCATCCCATGTAGTCTCCTGAAACAGATGGCACATATGTGGGTGTCCCAACCACAGCTAGCTCAGCTCTCCTTTCCCACATAGTCACGTATCGGACATGTCTGAGTGCCCAATCCTCTGTATGCTTCCCACGCCTATCCAGCTTATGCAGCTCTACATAAGTGTCGATAGGACGTGGAACGACCTGCTCAAACCCAAACTGTCGCATGACTCTATCAGGCAAATGCAGCTCAACAATGTCAAAACATATCAACGGGACACGTGCTCGCCAGATGTGAGTATGCTCTCGTCCAGCTGGGGGCAACTCTGCTAACATATCAGGTCTAAACGGCATCCATGTGATCTGTTTCATAAACATACAAAATTAGTATTTATTCTACACCTATTCTAGTTAATGTTATACTACATACACCATACCTGGTCCTCAGACATCCGATCCAATGCATCCCTGTAGACACCGAGCCCAGTAGCGGATGACATGCGAGATAGACCAGCATATAGCCACCTAACCATTCATGTAACAATATCAATAATATGGATATTATTAATTTATTAACATTCAACAAATACTCACATAAATACAAACGATTGAAAACATACCGACGGCCTAGAGGATCCTCGCCCCGTACATGATGTGGTCCTAGCAGACGTGGCGGCTCATCAGGCAGTGGCTGTCCATCAATGCCATGATATCCGACTATAATGGGACGGCCAATGTGGATATACTCCCATGACCAAATCTGGAGGAGTAGCAAAAATCCCCCCAGCTCTGTGCTCCCTCTCTGGCAGCCGCGACACAGCTGCCTGTATAGATAAGCCAGGGTGGCACTACCCCAGCTGAACTGTGCTGCTACATCAAACCTCTCCAGCAAAGGCAAGTGTAGCACCTGAACCTCATTTCCGCTCTTGTCAGCGAAAATGGAGGCTCCACTGAACAACAGTTCCTGGATTAGAATGTTGGAGCGCTGTCATGAAACGGGGCAATTCGAAATATGACTTTTCCCAACCGCCAAATATTTGTGCTATGGCCTTTTGCTTCCCCATCCATGTTCTCCGGTAAGATACCGTATACCCATATTTTTCCTTCAACATCTCGATGATAGTATGCACTTTAAGAGAAGGATCAGTGCGAATAATGTCAACCACATCTTTACAGATGAATTCTGATGTCAAGGCCACGTGATCTGTAGTGTCGATGTTGCCTACACATGAAGCAGAATGAGGTCCAGTATAACGCACAATTGTGAAGGTGTCAAGGTTGCCTTTGTTCTTTGTGGCGCGTATTCTCCAGGGGCAATGACATTCTTTCTTCCTTTTGCATTGTGCCACCCATTTGTGTTTATCAGACTCTATCACCCGATAGAATTGGTTCCGTTTGATAGAATACAAGCTCACCATATTGATGACTTGTTCTTTGTTGTCAAACTGTTGACCGACCTCAAACTCACCATCGGGGGTAAAGCTTTTCTCACCTGATCCACTCATCCACGCATCAGTAAAGCCTTCAGGGAGATCATACATTCTAGTGAAGTGGCTAGAAGGGGCAGTTGATGTCACAGTATCACCATCATCTTCATCAGATTCTGTCATGTCGTCACCATTGATGTTCTCGTCTGCATCATCATCACTTCCCTGCCCATCCACAAATGATGCACTGTTGTGCAAATACCTGCCATCCTCCTGTATAACCATGTCTAGTACAGGAACCTTTGACAACTTCCCTGCATTCACCCCTGCAATGACATCATGCCTAGATACAACAGCATTTGATGTCGATTGAGTAGCATTAACCTCAAAGCATTCCTCAATATATACCTCCAGCGACGACATATCCTCCATCTGAATTATGCCCCACATATTTGTTATAGCTAGCTCATCAATGAGGGGCATAAGCATGTACTTTCCCCCGTTCATGGGAAATTTCATTTTCAACCGCAAAGAACGACTAGGATGAATCATTGTGGCTGCATGTATTTTTTGAAGGATCTCGAGCATGCAAGCGCCACGAGAAACCATGACAAAGCTGGTTCTACCACCTTCAAGGCATATTTGGCCAGCATCTTCATAATAGTTTCCTCCCCAATGACATATGATTGGGAAGCTTGAGAAATCCATATTCTAATAACAATTCATTGTCCAACATTCATGAGTAGGAATCAATATACACACTTTAAACACAATCAAATTTTCAATAGAAAAAACTACCAAAATTGTAATATATCCAAAAGTCAAAATTCAAAAACAATTCACATTTGAATATGAAACTACCAAAATTTTGATATCTACATTCACGTCTAACTTTCAATAGCCAAATTTAGCTACATTCAAGTCTACCCAAATGCCCAAATGTCAAAATACACATTCAAATTTACAATCAATTTAAAATCAAATTTCAACATTTCATACATATCCACATTTCACAACAACTGAATTCACAATCAATTCATAATCCAAAAATTCGAAAATTTGAACATTCAAAACCCTAAGGTTCAAAATGAGATGAAATGGAGTTTGATTTACCAAGAAGAAAGAAGTAGAGTGTTGAAGATGAAGATGGAGGTTTGCCGGAGTGGGGTCGCCGGAGATGGAGGTTCGCCGGGGTTGTAAATGCCTCGGTCGTCGTTCGTCCTTCGTCCTTCGTCCTTGGTCGCTCGCTGCTGCTGCTGCTGCTGCTTTGAATTTGGGGATGAAGTCTTCTGTCTTGCTGAACCGACCCCGTTTTTTACTTAAAGAGAAAGTCGCCCAACGGTTGGGCGACTTATAAGTCGGCAAACGGTTTGGCGACTTATAAGTCGCCCAACCGTTGGGCGACTTTCCCCGACCCTGGTTAAACCAGCAGTATTTTGGTAAATACTTTTAACCCAACCCTATTTTCGTAATTAATTAATTAATTAACATTAATTCGGAAAAAAACTCACAAAAATGTGACTATAGTAACTTTATAATTGTATACAAATGTTACGTAACTATAAAATTTATTCATAGTAACTTATAGTTATATTTTAGGGAAAACTGTATATATAAACTCAATGTTTTGGTATCAATGGAACTTGTTAGCTTTGGAAATACGAGTAATAGGTATGTACAACTTTAGAGTTGTTCTCGATGTACACAAAAAGTATGCACTTTTTGTACGAGTAATAGCTGAGTGTTTCTAATCGAGTTGATGGAATACACAAGGGATGAGCATAAATACCGAACCGAACCAATACTGACCCGACCCGTAATGGTACCGAACCAAATATCAAGTATTTAAATGGTTCTATAAAATTTTATTCCAATCCGAAACCGTACCATTTAAAACTAGTACGAGATCAGTTCTAGATTTTGAGAATGGAACAATATCGGACCGGACCGTTACAAACTAATACATGTGACATTTTTATATTTTTTCCATCCAAATAAATATCTTGTTTAGACCAATATTTTTATAGCCCAAGTATGGTTTCATTTTTCATTAAATTACTAGTTTCATATGTTCATTCATGTTAACAGACTTCAAAATATTTCGAGTTTGAAGTACAGATATTATCATTTCCCAAGTGTTGGGATAAGTGACCCAATACAGGATCGGCCCAATACCCCATAAGGATGAAAGGGCAGAGTAACGGCCCACAAGACGAGACCGACACTCATGCTAGGTGCCCGACCCTCATCGCCAATATCCTTCTCCAGTTAAGGCCAGATTTCCCTTTGAGGGCCTCAGTTGGGACGCTCGGCGTGGACCGAGCGGCATCCCTGGCCTTGGACCTGCTTGAATCCAGAACCAAGGGGCTCAGAGATGATCATTCGGGACAATGGCTGGGAAAGTCAAATATTGGCGGCAAACACATTTAATGCAATAGATTTGATGGTTGGGAAGCTGGCCACTCATGATCCTCCACATCACCACTACTACCTACCACATTGTGCTATAAGAGCATCCACATTGATGATCTTCAACTTTACGGTTTTTCATGGCTTATTATTGTCATGTCACCTCCACATAAGATAATCTCAAATAATCTCTAAATCAATAAATTTATCCTCATTCATGATCTTAATTTACCTTGGATAGGAGCATGAGCATTCACGAACTACAAAGCTAGTCATCACCATAATTATGAGTATATCCCTAGAAGTTGGAAATCATCTCAAAATAATCCAGCTTTAGAATTTGATACCAGATTATTTTATCAAATAATCTCATAAAATAATCTCAACTCCTCATCCATGATCCAAAAAAAATCTTCCACATCATCAAAATGATCCCAAAAATAATCCATGGATGTGGATGCCCTAAATAGCAACATTTATTTCATAGTTAGGAGTTTTTAGCAACTTGTATTCTCTAGCTATGGGCGTGACTCCCTTTTATTCTCAGTTCTGAGTTTACGATCGGTTAATAATAGGGTGTGCTGTAATTGTTCATTATTATTGCTTAATAAAAACTCGGCCCACTTACTATATCTTTCTTTTTATTACCATTTTCTTGTGCTAAATCATACACCCAGTCCATCAATATATCCTACGAAATTCAAAGGTGTCGGACCTTTCAATTAGTCATCATATTGAAATGTAAGGCTCACGTTTCTGAGATTGTAAACATCACAACCGAATTGAGAGATGTGTTGTAAATGTCATTCTCATCGTTCATAATCCATCTCCAATTTAGGACTATCAATAATTTCAAAAGCATTGGTCTCACATTTCAATATTTTGAATATGGTGACAAACCAAGACATCAAAAATGCGATTTTTCCTACAGACTTCCTATTAATTAGAATTGACATAAGTTGTTGTCTGTGTTGCTATTACCACTACTATTACTAGTTTAAATATCTATATATATATATATATATATATATATATATTAATGAAATAGTCCAACTAATATATTAACTCAAAATAACGTTCGTCACATGGCTGATAAACAATCAAAGAAAAGAAGTAAACAAAACGATAAAAAGCCTCATGCCTGCAGTCCGCCCTCGAACCAGACTGAGAATCTATCACCTCTGTAGAAGCAATAACATTTGTTGGTCCTGTAATGGACTTAACTGAGCCAATGACTTGCAAACCAGACTTCTCATCGCATAACCTAAACTCAAGAATATCTCTGCTAGGAAAAAAGAACACGTCCAAAACAACGTGCAACTCGACAAAAAAAACACAAACTGAATAAAACGAAATTAAAATAGAATTCACCCATCTTCTTCCAAACCCTAGATTTGTTTGCACTCCATGGCGGCGACTCAGGAGGGGGACGCGCCCGCCGTTCATCCCCCACAACTTCAACATCAGTTTTATTAAGATCCAGTTCTTCTTCCTCTGCGCCAATCGCCATCGCCTTGTACTTGTCCACAAAGCTTTCCGGGCCGAAAAGAGAAAACTGAATCGAATTTCCGAAACTCGTTCCACCTCCATATCCGCCTACGAAGCGGGGCTGCAGCGAGAGAACTTTTCTCTACACAACCGTCGACACTCCCTCGACCCCGAGCCCTGATCAAGAAACACCAATCCGAACAACCACCGACGATCTACACTGTCTGTAACAGCAAAACGCAGACGCAAATCCAAAGTTCGGTGTTAAACTTTTATCTACTTATTTTTTTAATACTTAGTTTAAATATCTATATTAAAATTGGCATAATTCAGTTTAATTTTGTGAGTAGATGAAGAAAGTGAAAAGTGAAATAATTAAGAAGATATACTCTTCGAGCCCGTTTGGTAGCACGAAAATCGGTTGATTTGGTTGATTTTGCTGAAATTTATGAAACTCTGGCTGCATTGGCTTATTATGCTGATTTAATAAAAAATTGGTTTTAAAATATATATTATATAAATAAAATAAAGAAAAAATTATATATAAAAATAGTTAAAATGGTCGTCTACAGTAACTTCAGCCAATGCAGCTAGAAAAGTAACTCCGACCTTACTTTTTCTGCTTATTACATAATTCAACGCGCGAAAGCAAAAGTTACTTGTTTGGTGAAAAAGTTAGCTGATAAACCTGATAAGCGAAAATCAACGTTGCCAAACAAGTTCTTTTGTTTTAAAACATAGTGAGATGTGAAACCATGGGGAGATATAAAGACGCCAACCCTGCTATAGGTATTCCAATTGGTATCCCAATTTATACCCCAACTTATTTTTGTGGTTCACAAAAGTCCACCTCAATAAATGAATTGTCCCACTTTAATGAGGTGCTTTTGTGAGCCACAAAAATTGGGTGAGAGTACAAATTAGGGTAGTACCAATGCCTACAAACGGGTATTGTGTGTTACACCACCGTACCTTTGGTATCTCTCGTCCCTCCACCATTCTCCTTCACTTCTTCTCTCTGAATCAAAGCACCGAACACGTTACCGTCGCAAACATTAGCAGAAGAAGTAGAAGGAATACTTCAAAAATGCGTAACATGCCGGGGAGCTCGGGTCGAGGAATTGCCGCCATAGTCGGCGTGGGACCCGATCTAGGCCGATCCATCGCCCGGAAGTTCGCGCACGAAGGATACACCGTCGCAATCTTAGCCAGAGACTTGGGAAGACTGTCTCGGTTTGCGGACGAGATAGCTCGAGAAGAAAAATCTCAGGTATTCGCCATCCGGATCGACTGCTCGGAGTGCCGGAGCATACGAGAAGCATTCGAGGGCGTTCTCTCTCTCGGATTCGTCGAAGTGTTGGTGTACAATGTGTACCACCAGCTCTCGTGGCTCGCTACCAATTTCACAGATGTTAGGGTTGAGAACTTCGAGAAATCTATGGCGTCCTCCGCCGTCGGAGCGTTCCTCTGTTCGCAGCAGGTGATTCCGGGCATGGTGGAGAGAGGAAGAGGGACTATTATCTTCACTGGTTGCTCTGCTTCACTCACCGGCATTGCTGGATTTTCCGAATTATGTATGTATCGATTCGCGATTTCTTTCAATTCAAACTAAAATTAACATAACGAATCCTTATATTCTCATATATCGATCATCTTTCTGTATATTTCCAATAATCATGAAAGGTTGTGGGAAATTTGCACTGAGAGGATTATCGCAGTGTCTGGCGAGAGAGTTCCAACCTCAGGGGATACACGTGGCGCACGTCGTCATCGACGGCATCGTTGGCTCGCCCAGGTATGCGCTTCCTTTAACAATTCATCTTCCCATCCATTGCTTTAGCTGTTTTCACCGCATCCTACTGTCGTTTATTTTCACTATTGATGATTGTATTTGTTACTTTAAAAAAAATTGTTTGACTGTGTTTGATAAAATTAGATGATTACTTGACAATATGCAGACCGACATGAATGAGTATGAACATATGCTTTTCAATCTATTATACGGAGTATACCATTATTTTTTATCAGAAAGATATACGTGAAGCCTCGAACCTGTGATCTCCTTCTCTGCCACAATGTGTTTGTCACATGGAGAGTTATTAATAATCCTTAACATTTTAACCGTTTTATCGAATATAAATGTAAATTCTTGAAATACAGAGTAATTTAATACAGAGTACTCCGTAACAAAATTTTTTATTCATCTATTTATTACTCTGGAATCTATAATTATAGAGTAGTTTTTAAAAAATAAAGTACGGACTACGGAGTATATTTTATTATAGATTTGTAATAATATTATACGGAGTAGTATTATGTAAATTAAAGTAATTGATTCGAAAACCCAATGCCTTCATTTATTAAATATTTGTAAGACTAATCAAATATTACATCTTTCATAACAAGTTTTCCCTTTCTGTATTTGGATATCTGAAAGTGAAACTCTAATTTCCCTAAAATGGAAAATTTAAAGACAAAATGTCTCATGTCTCTCACCTTGAATTTTTGCTGACATTTTTCAGCTTGACATAAATCAAGGCCATACTTGAAAAGTTTAAACAACCGTTACGTATATGTGTAGATCAAGTGACCTGGTTACTCGCCAACCATGCGAATGACAGATCACCCGGCCGTGCAAAAAGAATGATACACCTAATAATACTCCGTTTATATATACTAAATTAAAGTAAAAAGTAACTATTTTGTATTATAATCAATTCATATTAAAAAGAATGATACACCTAATAATACTCCGTTTATATATACTAAATTAATACGTTACAAGCTTCAAAAACACGCATGACAGTCACAATCGTAACTTTCAATCCTTTCTTGACAATGATGATTGACAAATAATTTATCTGGTTATATTTGCTTTTGTAAGTTTTTGAAATCATTTTGGCACAATTATCATTTTGATCTTCTTTTATGAAAATGAAAACTATAGATATACTAACTAAACAAACAAACGCAATGATTTCAACGTCAGCTTTAACGGGTCGACTGGGGTTTATTAGTCTAAGGTCGGAATCAAGATGAACCGAGTCGGCTGGGTCCTCATAATTCGGAGTATGATTCTTGCTGGATTTGCCAACTGGATTTCTGGGTTATTAATCGACCTAGAGGCATCTCCGTTTTTTAATCATTGAGAAGTAGATAACACAAATGATTGAAAAGCGATGACATGATAAAATAACAACAATAATGGATACTTATTTAGTTATTTGGAATCGACTGAATTCCTAAAAGCTGTCCAGCTTTTCAAGGCCTAGCATATTGAGACCTGGAGCCAAGCTTATCCCCAAGTTACCACTTACCACACATAATCCTTAGTTGCTAGATTTGGCAAATGAAGTGAAATTAGTCAACCCAACAGAAAATATATGATCTGCCATTTATCATCACAATTCTTAGTTCTTTACTGTTGCTATGTAAATTTTTTGAGTTAAAATTCTTCAGAGTTTGATCCCCTAACCCATTTGAGTTTGATTGGTTCAGACTTCAGACAAAGTGAAACAAAAAATAAGTGGACCCAAGTTACTCAAATAACGGGTGTAATAAAAAATGGTGTTGGGGTGTATAAAAGAGCGTAATGTACTAATGTTGTAAAGCTCGTAAATATAACTATACAAATTGCTTCAAATAGTACTAAAGTATATAGGCAAAGTGCATAGAGATGAGTACTAAAATATAGACATAAACTAATCATATATGGAGTACAGTTTAATGTAAAGTAGCATCACTTATAGTTATAGAGTTATAGTTATAATAATATGTATATGCATATACAGGGGAGCATCAGTGGCAGCATGGCAACAACAGGGAGGGGATGATTTGTCAATGGACCCAGAAGCTCTGGCCAACACCTACTGGCACTTGCACATTCAACACCGATCTGCATGGACCCAAGAGTTGAATATTCGTCCTTCCAACCCAACCCTCCCCCCTCCCTCCTATACATCTCAACTCTCCTCTTCTTCTGTACAACAAATTCATCCAACACCAAGCCATGACAATTGATCAAATTATTGTTTTGAACTATTCCCAATCATCATAAAGGATCGCAATGTGTGTGTGTTCGTTCATTGGGGAGGAGGACATGGTCCGGTTTTGGTACCGTTCTAGTATTGGATCGTTGGTTTCGAATAATCAAGATTCTTATTCAGTATCCAAAACTTCTGGTTCTGGCTCGGGTTCTTAACAACGACGATAATTCTAATTTTGGAAGGTCCCCAAGTCCTTCACTTGGTTGCAAGGTTCCGGTCCTGTGTGGTTCTGATTTTGATTAAGAAACATATCAACCCCCACTGTTTCTTGCCTTCTTGCTTGCGGTAAATACTCATGTTGGATTATCCGAATGGATCAATGATGTGAAATGATAAAAAAGGAAATAATTTAGCGCCAAAACTGAGGTGTCATGGAATGCTCCTGCCAATTCATATCTATACTCAATTCATATATGTGTTGTTGGTCGTCATTGTTTTCACAAACTTAAATTTGAGATTTTGAGTCATTTTATGTTATACTTTGAGGCATTATCAGATTAGTGCAAATTCTTTAGAATTGATACAAATATTTTTGAATAATGCACCAAGTTGGGATCGACTTGTTTTATGAAATACGGAGTACATCTGTCTTCAGAACATACTTCGAATGATTTATAGTAATAGCATGTTTAAATGAAAATAGAGATATTTGAGCGAATATTATTTGGATATGTTTTTGGAAAGATACATGACAGTAGACACTCTTGAGAATATCTCGATTTTTTTATCAAACCATAAAATCTAGTGAATAATTTTTAGTTTTTTTTAAATACTAAAATAAATCTTATTTACACAAATCATATGCAGCATTTACCTCTTGAGTACATGCACCGTTTGGTTATCTCTAGCAAACCATATGCAGCATTTACCTTGTATTAGCGTCTTAGGAGCGGATTCAATGTGAGTGTGACTAACGAAATAAGTCAATGACTTGTAAAAAGTGTTGAAGATGGAGTCTTGTTCAGAGTTTCAGAACTGATACCCGACCGGGTCAGATGAAGGACCCGACCGGGTATGTTGAAGCAGAGACCTGGGGACTCTCTGGAATGTGAGACCCGACCGGGTCAGGTGAAGGACCCGACCCGGTGAGATGATCGATGAGCTTCTGTTTTGGAAACCCGACCTGGTTTCAAGCCTGGGTATAACTTTTGTGAAGAGACCCGACCGGGTCAAATAAGAGACCCGACCGGGTCGACGGGAATTTCCTAATTACGAGCTTAATTTTGGGCCTGCGGCTCTAATCTTTGTTTAGGTTTTCTTAAGCCTATAAAAACGACTCTTATGCATCTGTAAACCCTGAGTGACGCTGATAATAATACATACTCTCTCTCGTTCGCCGTGGACTAGCACAATCAAATCGATTGTGTGAACCACGTAAATTCTTGTGTTCTTGCTCTTAATTTATCGTTTATCTTTGCCTAATCGTAACAATTGGTATCAGAGCTATGACTGACGAAGGGAAGGTTAAGATCGATAAATTTGATGGTCAAGATTTCGCTTTCTGGAAGATGCAGATCGAGGATTATCTCTACCAGAAAAAGCTTCATCTACCCTTGTCTGAGAACAAACCAGAGACGATGGCGGAGGCGGAGTGGAACTTGTTGGACCGACAGGCTCTTGGTGTGGTGAGGTTGTCATTGGCGAAAAACGTTGCTTACAACATCGTCAACGAGAAGACAACGTTCGGACTGCTCAAGGCGTTATCCAATATGTACGAGAAACCCTCAGCTGCCAACAAGGTTTTCTTAATCAGACAGTTGGTGAACACAAGGATGAAGGAAGGTGCATCCGTGACAGATCACATCAACGAGTTTAATTCAATCATATCCAGGTTAAGCTCGGTTGAGATTAAATTCGATGATGAAGTTCAAGCGTTACTTTTGTTATCATCTTTGCCCGATAGTTGGTCCGGTACAGTCACAGCGGTTAGTAGTTCATCTGGAACCACTAAGCTTACCTTTGAAGGTATTCGTGACTTAATCCTTGGTGAGGATATCCGGAGGAGGAGTTCGGGGGATAGCTCCAACAGTTTGTTGAGTACTGAAGATAGGGGCAGAAAATCCACTAGAGAAGGTAACAAGAAGGGAAGATCGAAGTCGAGAAAGAGAGGGCAATCCAAGAACCGGAAGGACATCAATTGTTGGAATTGCAAAGAGAATGGACACTTCAGAAATCAGTGCCCAAAACCCCCTGCAGACAAAGGCAAGAAGGAGGTGAACGTGGCAGAGGATTATGAAGATGTTCTAATTTGCAGCGTTGAGAATTCAATTGAGTCCTGGATCATGGATTCAGGTGCGTCGTTTCATGCTTGTCATTGCAGGAATTTGATGAAAAATTTCAGGCCCTACAACGGAAGAGTTCGTTTGGCAGATGACAAATCCCTGGAGATCACGGGTATTGGGGATGTTGATCTCAGTACCACTTTGGGTACGACCTGGAGGTTGAAAGATGTGAGGTATATTCCAGACCTGAAGAAGATGTTGATCTTAGTGGGACAGCTTGATGAGGAAGGCCATAACGTTAGTTTTGGCAACAAGCAATGGAAGGTGACAAAGGGAAAGCTAGTCATTGCTCGTGGACAGAAGCATGGTACACTGTACATGGTTGAAGTGTCCACAGATGGAGCAAACGCAGCAGTTGAAGATACAGGGGTCTCTACTTTGTGGCATCAAAGACTTGGGCACATAAGTGAGAACGGAATGAAGATGCTGTCTTCAAAGGGCAAAATCCCAGATTTGAAGAATTCAAAGTTGAGCTTTTGTGAGCCATGTGTTCTAGGCAAGCAAAAGAGGGTAACCTTTGTGAAGACAGGACAACAACCCAAGACTGAGCGGCTGGAGTTGATTCATTCAGATGTCTACGGACCTACAAAGGTCTCTTCGATTGGAGGTTCCCGGTACTATGTTGCATTCATTGATGACTCTACACGGAAGGTATGGGTTTATTTTCTTAAGAATAAATCTGATGTCTTTAACACTTTTAAGAAGTTCAAGGCTGCAGTTGAGAATGAAACAAATCTCAAGATTAAGTGTTTAAAGAGTGATAATGGGGGTGAGTACAGTAGCACAGAGTTTGTAGAGTATTGTGCTGAACAGGGGATCAGAATGCTGAAGACGGTTCCAGAAACACCACAGCAAAATGGTGTTGCAGAGAGGATGAACAGAACACTGAATGAGAGGGCCAGGAGCATGAGATTGCATGCAGGACTTCCAAAGATGTTCTGGGCCGATGCGGTGAACACAGCAGCATACTTGATCAACAGAGGACCCTCATCTCCCATAGGTTTCAAAATTCCAGAAGAGGAATGGAAAGGTCGAGAGGTATCTCTTACTCACTTGAAAGTTTTTGGTTGTATTTCTTATGTCAAAGTTAGAGATGCAGATAGTGACAAGCTCGAGGCAAAGGCAAAGAAGTGTATCTTTATTGGGTACGGGATGGATGACATGGGCTACAGGTTCTGGGATAACCACAACAAGAAGGTAATCAGAAGTAGAGATGTCACTTTCAACGAGAATGCCCTATATAAAGATGGTCTTGCAGCAGATACGAGCAACGGCAAACAACCAGAAACCAAACAACAAGTGGTGTTTGATGGGATGACTGAAGATGACATAACACAACCTGCTGGTTGTGATGAGATGACTGGAGGCTCAGGGAGCAGTGGGAGCTCAGGAGATACAGGAATGTCTGAAGATAGTGGGAGTGATGAAGATGGTGGGAGTTCAGAGGCAGCTACTCCACACATTAGACAGTCCACTAGAATCAGAAGACCTCCTAACAGATATTCTCCTTCAGCAAATTATATGTTGCTGACCGAGAATGGAGAGCCAGAATCTTACTCAGAGGCATTGACCACGAAAGACTCCATACAGTGGAAGAAGGCCATGGAGGATGAGTTAGATTCACTTGACAAGAACCAAACTTGGTCCTTAGTCAAGCTACCACCGGGAAAGAAAGCTTTGGAGAACAAGTGGGTGTTCAGAATCAAAGATGAAGCAGATGGAAGCAAAAGATACAAGGCGAGGTTAGTTGTCAAAGGGTTCCAACAGAAGAAGGGAGTTGATTACAATGAAATCTTCTCTCCGGTTGTGAAGATGACTACTATCAGGTTGATCCTTGGTATCGTTGCTGCTGAAAATTTGCACTTAGAGCAGCTGGATGTAAAGACTGCTTTTCTTCATGGCAACCTTGAAGAAGACATTTACATGGCTCAACCGGTAGGTTTCTCAGTGTGTGGTAAGGAGAAGTTGGTGTGCAAACTCAAGAAAAGTCTATACGGACTGAAGCAAGCTCCTAGACAGTGGTACTTGAAGTTTGACAGTTTTATGCAGCGGAATGGGTACACTAGATGCAAGATGGACCATTGCTGTTACTTGAAGAAATTCGAGTCTTCATACATTATTCTTCTTTTGTATGTTGATGACATGTTGGTGGCTGGAGCAAACATGCAGGAGATCAACAAGCTCAAGAAGAAGTTGTCTGAAGAATTTGAGATGAAGGATTTAGGGGAGGCGAGACAGATTCTTGGGATGAGCATAGTCAGAGACAAGGTGGAAGGTACTTTAAAGCTTTCACAGCAGAAGTACATTCAGAAGGTCCTTGAGAAGTTCAGAATGACGGATGCCAAGCCAAGGAGTACACCGTTAGGGAGTCAGTTGAAACTCTCCAAGCAGCAGTCTCCGAAGACCGATGAAGACAAAGATGAGATGGCTAAAGTTCCTTATGCATCAGCAGTTGGCAGTTTGATGTATGCGATGGTGTCAACAAGGCCAGACATTGCTCATGCAGTGGGAGTTGTTAGCAGGTTTATGTCAAATCCAAGGAAGGAACATTGGGAAGGAGTCAAGTGGCTGCTACGCTACTTGAAAGGCACCTCTAGAACTGCTCTTTGTTTCAGGAGGAATGGGGCAATTCTAGAAGGTTTTGCAGATGCTGATTTGGAGGGCTGTCATGATTCCGGGAAGAGCACTACGGGTTACATATTCACTATTGGAGGTACGGCAATCAGTTGGATGTCCAGATTACAGAAGAGTGTAGCTCTTTCAACCTCAGAAGCAGAATATATGGCTATTGCTGAAGCGGCCAAGGAGATGATTTGGTTGAAGAACTTTCTTTCGGAGTTGGGCATGAAACAGGGGGATTGTGGTCTGTACTGTGACAACCAGAGTGCTATTCATCTCACGAAGAATCCGGTGTTTCACAGCAGAACGAAACACATCAAGATGAGGTATCATTTCATTCGAGAATTGATTGAAGATGGTACTATAAATTTGAAGAAGATCCTTGGTACGAAGAATCCAGCAGACATGCTTACCAAGGCGGTGACAACGGAGAAGTTGAAGCTATGCATGGCTTCAACGGGCCTTCCAGATACTTGATGAGAAGGCGTGGACGAGAGAGAGAGAAATCAGGGGTTTTACAGAAGATACGTGTCCTTGGATGGCAGATAATTGTTGACCAAGCCTCCAAGTGGGAGATTGTTGAAGATGGAGTCTTGTTCAGAGTTTCAGAACTGATACCCGACCGGGTCAGATGAAGGACCCGACCGGGTATGTTGAAGCAGAGACCTGGGGACTCTCTGGAATGTGAGACCCGACCGGGTCAGGTAAAGGACCCGACCGGGTCAGATGATCGATGAGCTTC